AAAAGTAAACTCTCGTTTTAACTGTTTTTAGAGGGGAAGCAAAGTATGGTTGTTAAACCAATACTTTATGTACAGAACATCAGTTGTTCAGGGGAATTCAAGCAATCTGAATATGATACTGTCACCTGTCTGAGTGTCTATAGACGGGGTTTCGATTGGTAATTGGATTTACTGAACACTTACAGATCATAACCACAAGTAACTATAGCACTATAGCCAAATCACACACACTCTACAATTCGTTACATCATGCACTAAGTCTTCTCAGTCTGTTGTATCTTCAACACTTGTCACCTGGTAACGGCTTTCAGTGCCGTAGCTACCTCAGCTTCCGTGTTTGCACCCTTACTGACCGGGGACTTTCTCACAGCTAGCTCAACTCTATAAACTTGTCCTGCTTATAACACCTCAGCATGGACCACACAAAAAAAAAAAAACCTGTCTGAACAGTTGTTCGTCTGTCACACTAATCATGTAGAGAATACTACTGCCCAGTGACTCCATTGGTGTGTATTACAAATCTGTTGCACCTATTATCTAATAACAGCTTTGTATAGTTGCTTATTTCATGGTCATTGCTCTCCAAGTTTCCTCCCATGGAGTATGTGTTTCCCCATTGTTGTTTCACATGTAGCATTTGCCATATTAAAACCTGTAATATTCAATTGTATTGATAAAGGTGCAAATACAGGGAGGTCAGATTATCCTTAGACTTGCATGCTAGAAATTTCTTCCTCTGACAGTACCGTGCTGTGTAAACAACAATTTACACTCCTGTTACTTTCTATGGGATCAGTGCTGGAGAAGAAAAAACTCAAAAGAGATATTCACTGGCAAGAGTAACATGATAACTGTGCTAAATTAGAAACAAGCTAAAATAATTCTTTGTCTTTTGGTTCTTCAGTTTGGATTGGTAGAAGGTATAGCTTGTATTATTATGAAGTTGCTACAGTTATGTCCTTACAAAACTACAGCCATATGTAGTCTTCTGCCTTCAGATTACAAAGCAATAATTCAGTACTGCACATAATTTCAGGATTTGGTATTCAGTGGACTTTTTGATCCAGAATGTATGTTTTATGCTGACATGGCATGGCCCACAAACTTCATGCTGCAAAGAAAAGTGAAACAAAATTACACAAAGAAACAGTGTATGGACCCAGATTAAAATACCATATTCAGAAAACTACAACACAAGCACCCATAACCAATCAAATCCTACATCCCTATCCCTAGTAAGGGTTTTCATTATTTTTCTCTGTCCCTCCAGCCAAATGCCAGGATAGTACCTCAATTCACTGACAAGGGCTTCATTCCAATCCTTTTCAATGCATCATTCATCAATCATCATAACATTCAATGTTATATAATCTACATATTTCATTTAGTGACTGTATTTTCTGGTACTAGATGAAAGCCAATACAAACTATGTATTATTTCCCCAAATTTAATGAATCTGGTTCAGTAAATAACCTGCATTTATACTAATGAATTTTCTACCTTCTGGAACCTTCTATCTCTGTTTAGTGCAATTGTGTTAAAACACCTGATATTCACGTTTTCTTTCTGCCAGAAATCTTTACAGCACAACCATAATCTTTGGAGAGTGACATCTCATACTGAACTAGCACCAAAACTGTGCCACTTGTGGCAACATAGTTGCTTTGCTTCTCAACAGAACTTGTCTCGGCATTTATTTCATGTTGTTAATCATTTCAGATATTAATTAAAAATGACTGATTTACATAATTACACTCATTCATATAGAAACAGTTTTGTGAACTACTTATGTAAAGAAATTATTTTATTGTGACTGTATACAGTGAGTCTTACAAGGTGAAGAGTTACTGGATGTAATTTTGCATAAGCCCTATTTAGCAAAGTCACTGTCATGCACTCAAAACTGATCCCAACAGTGATTTAATTTTAACAGGATGGTGGAAAGTGGATTACTTTTGTGGAAGTCATTCTCTGTATGACTCAATTTTCTGCTGTGCCAAATCGCTTCATGTTTTATTTTGATAATTCTGAACATTTCCTCTTGAAATACATTGCTTAGAGTTTGGTATTTTAATGTTGTGAAATGTTCATAGGCATACTCTTATGTGCCTCTGTTAACAAAGTTAAACCCATATTACTGTGACATGAAGAAAAGGTTCTCAAGAGTGTTGAAGCTAGTGAGTGGTACAGATTATGTACACCACTTACCTTGTTAAGTGGAACCTATGTTCTTTGTTTCTTTGTTTCTTTGTGGGGGGGGGACATTGAAAGGAGTGTGTTTTAAATACTGGCATGGAACACCTGTGGTTTTATTATCTCCTGTGAGTGACATAAATTTACAGTTCTTTTATTATGTTGTATTTTTTCCCATATGCTGATGGCTGAATTAATTATTTCTAAAGATAATGATTTTGCATGCTCTAGGGCAAGGGTCTCCAAACTACAGCCCACGGGCCACATCCGGCCCGTGAAAAAATTGTGCAGAAATGTGCCAGTTGAACTAATTTTCCAATGAGTACTAAAATACTTGTTCATAGATTTCAACTGATGTTTGTAATACCTCTCAACTATTAGTATTTTTTCGTGGTGTCGGCGATGAACTTAATGTCACACAGGAATTAGCATCACTTCACAGCATGCATGGCACTACAACAGGAGATGATATCTTCAAAGAAATACAAAAAACACTAACAGAATATAATTTGGACTGGAACCGTCTACAGTGCGTGACAGTTGATGGAAGAAAAAACATGTCTGGTATAAAAATATGTTTGGTTGGCCAAATCACAAAAGCTTGTGAGGATGCAGGAATATCAAAGCCAATGTTTCTGCACTGTGTTATCCACCAACAAGCACTCTGTGCAAAACACGTTGATATGAGCTCTGTTTTAAAACCTGTTATTTCTATCGTTAATTTCATTTGCTGTCATGCACTTAACCATCGCCAGTTTCGGTCTCTTCTCGAGGAATGTGGTTCCGAGCTTATTGACCTGACATATTATACTGCAGTTCGATGGCTTAGCTGTGGAAAGGTTCTCTTCTCTCGCGCTTCTTTCAGCTCAGGAATGAAATTGATATAGTTCTTACCGAGAAAAAACATCATGAACCACTTTTATCAGATACCGAATGGCTTTGGAAATCAGCATTTGAATTTAAAGTTGCAGGGTGAAAATAACTTAGTCCGTGATTTATTTGAACTTATCAAGGCATTCAGAGCAAAGTTGATACTTCTGGAAAGCCAAGTGAAAAATTGTAACTTTGTTCATATGCTATACTGTGCAGAGTTGCATAAAAAGGGTGAAGCAGAATTTCATTCCTCGTTTGCAAATTTAGTCATTTCAGATTTGAAAGAACAATTTCGGAAACGATTTGCTGATTTGGATGCCAGTGCTCAGGAAATTAGATTGTTTCAAAATCCATTTGACTGTGATGCTGCAGATGTCCAAAGTCAAATTCAAATGGAAATTATTGAACTTCAGGAAAATTATCATATTAAAGACAAATACAAGGAAGGAAATTTGATCGAATTTTATAAATTTCTGAACTCTGAGCAATTTCCAAATTTAAAGAAATTTGCTTGTAAATTTATCTCCATTTTGGGGGCGACATATCTGTGTGAACAAACTTTTTCCCAGATGAAGTACATCAGGTCGAAATACAGGGCAAATTTATCCGATGAACATTTAAAGTCACTACTTGTGATTAGCGTTTCAAAATTTGAACCTCATTTTAATCAAATTTTAAGAATGCAAAAAGAATTCCATCATTCACATTAATTGTTTTATTATAATTTGTGATCAAAATATGAGCATTTGCTGCTACTGTCTATTGTCATTAATATACGATAATTTATTCTCACGTGCTTTGTATTTAGTTTATGAAATTCTATGCTTTCAATAAAACTCATATACCTAGAGTTATTAATTTCTCATTTTATCCGGCCCGTTGAAAGTGCTGAATTACCTAATGTGGCCCGCGGTTCGAAAAGTTTAAAGACCCCTGCTCTAAGGTAATCACAGAATTCTTTCCTTGAGAATTATTTTGAATAATGAATAAATCTGGCACATGTGTTCAGGGTCAAAGTGAAAACAAATGGAAGTGCATAGTCTAGGCCAGAGTTGTCATACTCATGGGCTGTGTACATAATAAATAGTATGGAAAAGTACGAGTATGAAGTAAGTCTTGGTTATTATATGCAATATTAATGCAGTTTCACAGACCTCTTAGCAGCTGATCTTTAAGTACTGTTCTCCTGGACACACTGTTTGAGATCCTCATTAGACAATTATTTTGCCTGACTACTCAGATTGAAAATGGTATTCTGTTATATCAGAGAACCCGTCTTCCATAACAGTTGTGGCAAAAAATCTAAAATCCTACAAGTGTTTCCCACTTCTCACATGGCTTCCTTCATAGTGAAATTTCATACACATCCGAAGGAAGAACATAAATTCAATTATCGTGGAGTTCAGCGGTGTTTCTCAAGTGCTCCAAGTGGTTACTCAGAACAAAAATTATATTAACTGAAGTCCAGTTCAATCATACAAATTACTTTTTCTGTATCTCGCATGTACTCAACATGTACTTTCTTCTTTTTTTGCTTGTCGCAACTTTGAAGGCGCTTATTTTGAAACTGCCACGCTGTTTTATCATGTCTTGAATACGATTTCTTTTTATTTAGTTCATGAATACTGTCAAGCCATTTTGTTTATGAAAGCAGCCCTGCCATTTTATTTACATGTATGAGAGTTACAAATTTTGTATTGTAAATATATTTACATTATTATTTTATGAATTCAGGAACTAAAAATCACATCTAACCTTTTCGGGAGATAAATTCCATTAGTCTTTGATGGCATATCATAAACTGCAGGAGATGGTTCTGGCACATCTCCAACCCACGTATACAGTCAGAGCACTTATCACATTAAAAGTCATTACAGGCAGACTACAGTAGGAATGACAAACTCTTTAATACAGTTTCATGTAGGTTGCAGTTTGGAGTCTATCAGTGGGACAAACCATCAGACTGTTTCTCAACATCCTGTTAGTTCTAACCAGCGGACTATGTTATATATTGCTTGACGCTCTACGGGAAGCAGTGTTTAATCCATACTGGACACCTTTAACGTAAATATAGTGTAGGTGGCTCAGACTCTTTTTTGTCATCGGTGTTTTGGATATCTTAAAAATATTCTGAGAAGATGGCGGCATTTGGGAAGTTGAAGAGAGGCAGCGTTCAGCTACAGCGAGCGGCAATCAAAGCAAGTGGTAAGCTGGACACATTGCATTTCTTGTGCCTATTTCACACTACGAAAAATAACTCTTTCAGGAATGCCAACCACTTCTATTTGAAATATTTTGATATCTGTTGATGCTGTTTGAAATGTAAGTGGGCATTTTATTTTTTAATTAGAAATATTTATTATAACTCCATAAATGCAACAAATTTGTAGCAGCAATGCTTTAAACTTTTATTTAGGGGGTTCTCGCTTCGAATCTTAGATGAGATTCCGTCTAATTTGACTGCCTTTCTTCAGACTCTCCAGAAAAATAACTGAAGAGTACACTAAAACGTGTCATTATCGAGTTCTTCGAATACAAATATACATAAATTTAATAGCATTAGCCTATTTACCAGGTTGAAGAAAATTATAGGATTTTGAAAGCGCAGACCCAGATGGGATTTGGAGAAGTTATATGCTCAAAGACAAAGCGTGCAAGAGACTCTAGAAGAGAAACTCGGTGCAATTGAAGGTGAAAGCAGAAATGCTGAAGCGCAGTGGAACGATATAAAAGAATGCATGTTAGATACTATCAGTGATTTGGTAGGTAAAGTTGAGAAGATAGCAAGAAAACCATGGGTTACACAGGAGATGATGAGTAAAATGGAGGAGCGAAGGAAATGGAAGAATGTCAACAATGAAGAAGGCAGGAGGAAATACAGGAGACTGAGGAATGAATTGAAAAGAGCCACGGACAGGGCCAAAAAGGAATATCTTGAGAAGATATGTAATGAGATTATGGAATTTCAAAGAACAGGCCGTTATGATTTGATGTACATGAAGACAAAAGAACTAGGATGGAAAGAGAATCATGGGATTCAAAATGTTGGCATCGAAGACTCCCAGGGGAATAGAATAGTAGATCAGAGGCAAGTGCTGAAAATTTGGGAAAATTATATTTCAGAACTATATGATCGACCTAATCGGCCAGAAACCTTAGAAGTTGAACCGGAAGAAGAAGTAGATACAGACGAGAAAGGACCATATATTTTACAAAGTGAGGTGGAAAAAGCTATCAAGGAAATGAGGAAGGGAAAGGCTACAGGAGATGATGATGTACCTGGAGATGTGCTCAAGTTACTGGGAGAAGGTGGTTTGAAAACACTGACAAAACTAATGAACACCATATATGAAAGTGGAGAGTGGCCCAAGGACTTTACAGAAGTTACAATGATTGCCTTAAAGAAAAAGACAAAAGCTACAAAATGCAGCGACCATCGCACAATAAGTCTTATTGCACATACAGCAAAGATAATAGCAAAGATACTTAAAAGAAGAATTGAAAGGAAAATAGAGGATGTACTTGGAGAAGATCAGTTTGGATTTAGAAGAGGAAAAGGAACCAGGGATGCAATTGGGATGATGAGAATTATAGCGGAACGAACTTTGGAGATAGATGAAGAACTGTGTGTTTGCTTCATAGACTGGCAGAAGGCATTTGACCGGGTAAACTGGACCAAATTAATGCAGATCCTGAAAGAAACAGGTATCGATTGGCATGAAAGAAGATTGATTAGCAAATTGTACATGGATCAGAAAGTTAGAGTACGACTGGACAGGGGGGAGACAGGAAGTGTGCAGATTGGAAGAGGAGTTCGACAAGGATGCTGTTTATCACCAATTCTGTTCAACTTGTACAGCGAATGCCTTACCAAGGAAGCTCTGGATGGGCTCGGTGACTTCAAAGTAGGAGGGCAAATTATTCAAACTGTGAAATATGCAGATGACCTTGTGTTAATGGCTAAGGAAGAAACTGTGCTACAGGGCATGATTGATAGACTAATTGAAATTGGAAGGTGCTATGGCATGGAAATGAATGTGGAGAAAACAAAAGTAATGAAAATTTCGAGACAACCAACCCCAGTCACAATAAAGATAGACCAAAAACAAGTGGAGAATGTGAAATGTTTTAAATATTTGGGTAGCTTGTTAACAGATGATGGAAGGTGTACTTGTGAAATTAAATCCAGGATTGCCATGGCAAAAGCTGCATTTAGCAAGAAGAAGAATCTTTTTACCAGCAAATTGGACTTAAATTTGAGGAAGAAACTAGTGAAATGCTACATTTGGAGCATAGCTCTGTATGGGGCTGAAACATGGACACTTAGGGCAGTAGATCAGAAACATCTGGAAAGTTTCGAAATGTGGTGTTGGAGAAGAATGGAGAAGATCAGTTGGACCGATTATGTGAGAAATGAAGAAGTGTTAATTAGAGTCAGTGAGCAGAGGAATATCCTACATGAAATAAGAAAACGGAAGGCTAATTGGATTGGTCATGTTTTACGCAGAAACTGCCTTCTAAAAGAAGCTATCGAAGGAAAGATAGATGGGCGGATAGAAGTGACAAGAAGACGAGGAAGAAGACGTAAGAAGATGCTGGATGACCTTGGGGACAGAAGAGGATACTGTCATTTGAAGGAGAAAGCTCTAGATCGCATTAAGTGGAGGAATTGTTTTGAAAGAGACTGTGGACCTGTCGTCTTGACAGATTACTGATGATGATGATGATTTATAATGTGTATATTTGAAATATGCCCTTAAATAATCCAAAGAAAATCATTATCCAATATTACAGTCAAAGTTAATAATAATTAAGAATACAGGCAGAAGATGACAGCAGTGGAATACATGCTTGTGTTGGCATTGCAGTATCGACCTTCTCTGAAGATTCCTCTAGATAGCAGCGCTGCTTAATACATATTGCTGTGCTGTCAAGTTTACTGTGCTACTTTAAATGTAGGTGTCTTTCCGTCAGTTCTCAAGTTATCCGCGAGCAGTCTGCAGCCACCTGCTCATGCTTGTTCCTCGCTCGCGGATTTTTCGACCCTGAAGATGGAGGCGATACGTTCCTCCGAAACGTCGGTTCACACAAGATCTACACGGCGCCACATCCCAGAAGACGGCATTCTTCATAATCATCGCCGTGGAAACCTCAAATTTTATATTTGCCTCTTGTTTTCACAGTGTATGAAAATATTGCTGAGTTAAGCTTGAATTAAATAATGTACGTTTAAGAAGAGCCACAAATATATATCAGCACAACCAGTATTAAAGAAAGCAGGAATGTCATCAACTCCAACAGATTTAGGTGGTATGAGACATAAAGATTTTTAAAACAAACGAAAGAGAAATAAGAGCTAAAGGTAAAAACTAAGAATATGACGAAAAGGTGAGGAAGATATCAGGACAAAGACTGTTATACACTGACTGTAAATATTTAGCAAATTTATCAGCCACTTCACAGAGATCGCCAGAATACGTATTATCAAATTCAAGATGGATAGAAGTAGAACTTCTTTCCATAAAGAAACCACATATTTCCAGAATTTAAGTTATCAGCAGCAGATTTCAACTATTTAAGTCTGTCAGATTTAGTATCAGCTTCAACTAGCTTACGATGAAAGGAAACATTTGGTGAAGACAGTGGGATTTATTATTTTTAAGATATCTGTAATTGGGTTTTTTCCTTTATGTGGTAACTTACGGAGCTAGAATACCAATTAGGGAATTTTGGCTTTCCGATGATGTTACAGGGCTTGCCTGTTCCATGAAATCTTGAATAATAACATTGAGCTGGCGACAGCAGCCTAGAACAAGATCGATTGAAAATCGAGAGACTGTTGTGAAGTAGCGTATAATCAATCACCTGAAACAAATTTAAGGTACAAAACAAGGCACAAATAAATATCTATAATCAAATGAGGGTGATAATTACAAGACTTTATAATTCCATGGTCGATATAAATAATAGGTAAGTCGCTTGAAGTGGAAAAAGTAAAGTAGATTGCTGCTGTGTACATTATCAATGCACCGACTAAGGTTAAGAAGGGCCACGCCATAGCTCAAGCGGTTAGCCGCTGGCTTCCCACCGCAGCGGCCCGGGTTCGATCCCGGGTCTGGTCAAGTGGGATTTGTGGTGGACAAAGTGGCGCTGGGGTAGGGTTTCTCCGAGTACTTCGGTTTCCCCTGCCAATCTTCATTCACCAATTGCTCCACAATCACCCTCACCTATCATCTGGGGCTGGTACAATAGGCCAGAAGTGGCCGCAGTACAAGGGACTTAGTCCCACCCCACTAGAAATAAAAAAAAAGGTTAAAAAGACACATGGGAGTGAAGAACGCACATCCCTTAAGTTTAGAGAGAAAAAATGGCAACCTGGAAAAGACAGATTGCTTTCCGGTCGAAACCAGGAGTGTTAAAATCCTCAACCATAATAACTCGAGAGATTGTTTTATAAAATTTATCAAATTTAAACCGTCAAGATCGGGGATTTAAAATCATATACACTCATTACAAGATCTAAATCATATATTCGTTTACATGGGCCAGCTCTGGAGGATAAGGGTATAAGTAGTCCACCGCCATATGTTTTATTCTTAGACACCCTGTCAGAACGGAAAACTGTACTAATCATGAAATGTGATCATAACACAGATCTCTAATCATATCTCAGTTAAACGTTATAGTCCGGAGAGCGGACAGTTTCATGAAGTTTAACTTGCCTCTGACTTCTTCATAATAAATGGCAAAACCTATTTCGGGTTGGCTGTGAGACCTGACGGAACAGTCTGTATTGATATCTCGCATGTGAACCATTAAGAGCTGAAGCGTCTTTTCCCTGGGCAGCGTCAGTATTTACAAAGCCGCCTGTATGATTGCAGAGGAGGAAGAGAAGGTGAATGGCCTGCCCCAGGCGAGGGAGGCCGAGACGTAGGTTTAATAGCCCTTAACAAGGGCCAATTAAACACATTAGGCCAACGTCAGTATTATTAGTAACATAAAGTTCACCTTCTGAAAGAGACATGAAATGGGGCTTTCTTTCACCTGCTACATGGAAGGGAAGCAAGTTGCAATTGGTACTTCAAATATTTTTCAGCATCAGATATAACCTCATTGGATTCCTAAATTTCTTTGTGGGGTTGCGCAGAGCAGAAGGGTTTACAGGGGCAAGTTTACTCGCTTTCTCCTAACTACCGTTACAAAACCGTCAACTGGGTTTTCTCCTGTCTCAGTGAAGGACTCGGGCACAAAATTCATATTGGGCTGAATGATACTAAAAGTAAAGTAAGTAAAGCTATCCCTTTAACAGGCCATGAAGGCCCATAGGGTTGTGAGTAACCTGAGAAGGAAACAGATCCAGTTTCCGAAACGTCGTGTTTTCTATTCACAAGATTACCGAACAATGGAAAGAGTTCAAAAACCCGGTAATTCTATCTGAATGATACTGGTTTGTTGGAAGGCCGTGGCACGAGGGTCGCCGTCCTCTGGAGGCAGAACTTCCCTGTATGATTTTGGGGTGGCTGTATTTGCTGCGGCAGATGACGCAACCTGCCGTCGTATGAATGACACATGTAAGGGCAACTGAGGTAGGTCATGTAACTGGAGCTTCAGAGTGGCATTGTCACTTCTTCGCTGCTACGCCTCGCTGCAAATCTCTGAAACCATGTGCGCTAGATATTTTACCGTCTCCATAATGCAAATGCTCCTGAGACTACAAGCTTGTAGCTGCATGCTGAGGACCATCATCCCTGATAGGAGAAGCAGTACATTCCATCTCAGGGGATAATACTTCCTTCTGAATATTTTTAGTGAGGATATGTTTGTTTGTTGTATCCCCCAGCAGTGTTGCGCAACTATCATACATAAGCGGGCTTACCAGCTAATGTGCTCGCAAAGCGATCGGGCACACCAGTTTGCAGGCAATTGCAATGAACACTCGAATCGCATTTGCAACATGGAATAAGCTTATGTTTATCTTAGAGTGGCTCTTTGCAAAGCAGACACAAGTCCTTACTTATCATGCTCAACCAATATCAGGACCATATACACAGGTCGACTTAAGGCANAACAGTAATAATAGTAATAGTAATATTATCACGCGTAGAACGGTACGCTCCGGTCTAGAAAACCGACATTAATGGCCGTGGGGATTCGTTGCTCTGGTCACGCGACACCCTCTATCCGTTAAAGTTGGTACTAACTTCGCCGACAAGCGGCGGTCGCTAGGTCGGTATAGTTCGCTTGCGAACTAAAACCACGGAGTTTGGTTCTTTGTAGGATGGTACGCGTGACGAAAGTGACAGTTTCTAGTTCGGATGAATAGATTTATTAGTACCTTGGTTATACGTTCTCTTAATCACATTCAAATACAGTGCTATCGCTCATTTACACACACACACACACACACACACGTCCTCCCCTGGTAGCATAACTAAAACGCAGGAACTATAAGAGTCTCGCTGAATCACACGCTTCAGGTATTACACATGAATGAAGTCTTCACAGGTCGACTTCTTCTTCTTCTTCTTCTTCTTCTTCTTCTTCTTCCACGACCAAATTTCCGTAGCTATCTTCCACGGAGAAATCAGAACTGAACTCTGTCACTGACTTGATTAAGCCAAGTCAAAGTCACATTGCGACTGGCGGTCAGTCAATCAGTAAGTCTTGGTGGTGTGAGACTGAGTCCACTTGGTACGTCGGCCATTAATTGGCCTATTGTACCAGCCCCAGATGCTGGATGATGATGAGTGTGGAGCAGTCGGTGGAATGAGAATTGGCAAGGGAAACCGAAGTACTCGGAGAAAACCTGCCCCAGAGTCACTTTGTCAACCACAAATCCCACATTACCTGACATGGGCTCGAACCCGGGACGTTGCGATGGGGAAAAATTATGTTACCTACAGGTTATGAAATAGGAAGAAATGTCCAATTTTAGAACATTTTCATGTTCGATCTGAGCTTCGTATAATGTACTGATTACACTGGACCGTTGTGAAACAATTAAAAGATTTGAGATTCTCACCTTTATCCTTATAATGGAGACAGCATGTTCCTCTGAAATCTAGTTGCCTGCCCACCAAATTACACGGCGTCATAGCTCAAAATCTAGAAGTATTACAATTATTTTAGCTCTACAGCTGTTGACATAACATACTCAGCTGCTCAAGAACTTCCCAATATTTCATGGAACCCGAAGGTTCATTACCGTGTTCACAAGAGCCCTCCACTGGTGTCCAGGTCATAGGCTTTGTGTTCATTTTCGTAACATGATTATTTTTACGGGTGAGGAGTTGTTAGCCCCACACACTACCCCCAAGCTGGAGGATCACCCTTGTCGGTTGTCCGCGACTGCTTATTCAATATATTCTCAGCTTCCCTCCATATCTGGAGGGCGTCTTCTCCATCCGCAACCTGAGGACGAGCCATGCCGTGGTGACAAGGGACCCACGTAACATGGGTTGACGTAACATAGAACACTAAGTAAATTAAATTTAAATTTATGAAGTATGTTTGTAGATGAACCACACACACACATTAATAGACATGACCTCCGCATCATCCATTCATTTCGTATGCTTCAGGGAGGATTGGTGCCCGTCATGTGATGGTGGGGATGGTGGTGCTCGGGTTGTTGCTGTCAGGTTTCGTGGAGCGCAGCGCCAGTGTGGCGCTGCTGTCCCTAAGCGACCCTCTGTCGTCAGCAGACTTTGCAGAATACGTCACTAATACGAGTTACGTCACACAGTACTGCGCATCTTTCAACGACACGAACGACCTGGACGTGGGAGCAGATCCTGAAGATGGTGGACTGGAAGAAGAGATCACGGATTTCGAACAGGAGGACGATGATTCATTTGAGGGGAACGGTACGACACACGTCGGGCATGGCCGCCATATTGTGGCAGACCCACCCCTCAAGGTAACAGCAGTTCTGGACAGCCAAAACGGAGCCACCTGAGTTAGATCTGATTCCGAATTTTTGACGGGGTTGTCGGTCATTCTAAATGTGATTTGAGGTTCTCGCGACTTGGACTATGAATAGTATTTTCGTGTGGGATTTTACACCGTGTAGTCTAGTAGACATTTGTCCATGTTTCGGAGGAATGTACTGCATCCTTCTTCAGGATCGAAGCTGACCGAGTAAAGAAGCAGTAAGCAGAGTGGGCATCTTGCTGCATGCTTGGTCGATTTAATTCGGTTCTGATATTGAGGCAAGAGGTTCCTTCGAAAAGTCTTTACACCTTTAGAGACTACATGGCTTCACAATCCAGATTACAGCACTCTTTATGCCGACAAATTTTATTTCAGGTTTTCTGCAGTCCCTCAAGGAACATGAAGAGACATGACCGCCTCCTTGCAAATTCTTACCTACTCATTAGTCATGAACATCTTCCTATTTTATTCGACTTTCATGACTTCTGCAAGGCAGGAAGCAGCGTTGTAACTAGAATAAGTTATAGCTGTTCCTTGTCCCGCAGTGGAAACGCCTCTTACATAGCTGAAATTTTCCTTTGGAGAGTTGAGTTCGAAGCATGGTGGGCACCGTGTTGTCCTCCAGCTGCAGCAGGTCTTCCGTAGGCCGCTGACTGCAGCCTCTCCAGTAATTTCTGATTTCTCCTCCTTTTGTCTTTACACTTACCCCTCTTCCCTTGTTGGTGTGAGGCGGAAGGCTGGAAGGTCGGGGGTCTGGCACTGGGAGCCGATAAGCACAGAGTACGAGGGCTTATAATTAGAGTTGTCGCCTCCTAGGTAAGAGTGTAGTGGAGGTAACTGTCTCTCCTCAGGATTCGGACATCTTAGCCCGGGTCTTGACAGACCTTGCTGCGGCGGGCAGGAAGAACAATGATACTACACGCTATTCACAGCACAAGACAACATTTTACACTTAAACTTGTTATTTATTAAAAACTGAAATGGGAGGTACACTGATTAGTCTGCTAATAATCATAACTATTAAACCCGTTTTAATATTATAGTCACTCTTTAATTATTTGCCAGTTATATTCCACTCTGTAACTCGGGCTGATATAATGTCTCAGGTTGTATAATTTAGGATTTAGTCCAAGTGACGTGGGTTCGCGTCCCTACAAGTCAAAAGCTGAAATCAGAGTCTTCTTAGAAAGGAGCGCTCTGAAACAGCGAGCATCTCAGATCCTTAACTTCCAACAAAAGTTGCCTCTTTCGAATATGCCTTATTGGCCCAATTCAGAAACTAGGAGATTTCAAAATTTTTCATCTACCAATCAGATGATTTCGCTAAGCGATATTAACCCTTAAAATACAAAGAACATTTTTGATAGTTCCTTGATGTACCTTAGCGGTGATATCGGGCCATCTACTTGTAATTCACTGCTTTTCTTAGATGTCAAATGTCGGGTCACCAAATCCCTGCCAGGCTATGTTGAAGTGAGAGAACAGGAAAATGTGCAATAAAATTGTGATAATGCACGCATATTCATGGAATCAGGATAGAAAGGGAGGTAGAAATTCATGCTAGAAACCCAACCAACAAACCAAATCCATGAACACCAATTCGTAGAAGTAAATGGAGATTTTGTGATAGGTCTAATATACTTTTTATTGTGAAAAAAATATTTTAAATATAAAAATGGCTTATGCAATGCCCATCCGGCCTGTGGCTACCCCTAGCACCATCTGTGGAGTGAAACCTGAAGACTTGAGACTAAAACCTAATAGAAAACATGAAGAGTCTGTCTCGTCCTACTGATCTTCTTTGTGAGATTGTAACCTCATTGTTGACAAGGAAGATACAGATGAGAAAAATGTCCAAAGTGGGTTAGCTGTTCGGATTGGTTGAATATGCCATATGGACCGATTCCATGTATTTTCTATACTTGTTGGACTTTCAATTTCCAAAATTCTCCCTTCACAAATCCAGCTGCACTCGGACCTGAGAATGTCTGCGCTGGCAGCAATTGTAAACGATAGACCCGTCCTCTCGTCGGAGAGAGCTCACCATATCAACAAACCAGCAATTGTCTGACAGTAATGAAAATATGGTCGTAAGCCTCAGATGGGTGCTTCATTCCAGGACGCATGAGATAACATATTACGCACATAACGACCACTGTGTGATATTAAAGTGTGAATCAATGTTATTGGTTGTTACATTGTAGACGGAATATTTGATAGACTGTAAGTTGACAAAAACTAGCCAGAAATGTAAAAATATATTTCTAAATAAATCTATAACGCTTCGAAAACATATAGTCTTTCAAAGCCATCACCTCGACTTTCAAAATAATGCAATTTTACTTCACGGTGGCAAAAGACTTCTAGTAACCGAAAGACATAAGGTCCAAACAGCAAATCACGAACAATTGTTGACTTATGTTAAAAAGTGCTCTTTGCACGTCTGAGCCAAGTCTAATAAAGTAATATTAAATATTGTGAACACCTGCCGAAATATATCTGTTCCAATATATGTGATAGCAACTCTGGATATTGCAGATATATACTTCAAATTTAAGCCTGTGTATATATTACTTTAAAATATTTTGTAAATACAGATTTTAAATAAATAAGTTAAGATCATAAGAGGATATCACTCGCGGGACACATCAGAAGCCGGGCGGGCCGCGGGTTGTACGTCACTGACTTATTTAAGAAGTATCTGTTGCAAACAAAGACGGCGATACATAACAATAATTTAAGAATCCAACTTTCTAGCATCGTTCTCATTTTTTTAAAAAACAAATGAAAGTAATAAATATTACATTCAATCCAAGATGGTTACAGAGTCGTAAGTTAAACGTCTACAATGTACCGCACAAAATCCGCGCCGTTCTTTATATTAAGTTCATGTTCTTCAGTTTTGGTGAATGGACTTGTCCTTACTTTTCAGGCCAGATGGAGTCCGCGTTAAAACAGTTTAACAAATGCTGATTCTAGTGGCATGAATTTGCACCAAACTTGACATCAAAACACTTGAATGAGCGCAAGGAAAGTGTAGAATGTCCCTGCCACATGTAGAATCGTGCAAAAAGGCCCAGAAAAGTGAGAATATAATTTATCTTTTAGGTTCCTTTCTCTGAAAACGAGGGCCTGGATTTTCGGCTCCGTGAGATGTTCCTATGGGGAACCCTATTCGCTCCTCTTCCCAGCAGTCGGCTGACCGCGAAGGTGGGACCTGTACGCATTTTCGGGATTGGCATTCTAGGAGCAGGGGCACTGGCCGTCTTTGTCCCATTCGGCGCCTGGTTTTCATCATATCACATCACAATCCGCTTCGTTCAAGGTCTTTTCACTGTAAGCACTCTCTCATTATGTAAAGGTAAAAAAGGTAAAGTAGTCCCTGTGCGCATTTAATTAAGCACCATGCCATGACAACGTAGAGGGGATTGGAGGTATGACTCCACCATTTTTACCTGTTCACTAGATGGAAGTGAGTGGTCAGCTTCACCCCCTGGCCACATTAACACCACGTAACTCCCCCCCCCACCTTACACATTGACTAAGAGGCTGCTTTTTCCTTACGTAATATTAAGAATGTAAATATAGTCTGTCTTCGCTCGCTCGGAAGCCGGAATCGTGGGTTCGAATCCAACACAAGGCATGGATGTTTAGTGTATATATGCGTCTATTTTGTGTTTCTGTTGTCCTGTGTTCAGGTAGAGGCCTTGCGACCCGTCCAAGGAGCCCTGCCGTCTGTAAATATGATCAACGAAACTGAGAAATCAGCCCTGTGCTCCAAAATGGGAGCAAAGAGGAAGAAAGAAATATAGTCTTGGGAATGAAGTAGTGTAGTTTGGTAGACAGGCCTAAGTATCGACGTTTTGGAGGAACCTGCTGCCTCCATTTCAGTATTCTATCCGGAAGGTAGCAGGTTCAGCAGAGACGTTGCTACCTATATACTAAACTACACGGCGTCACGTCCAGTTAGACAATAACGTTAATATTCACTGTGATCAGAATCTCAAGCAGCACAGGGAATATCCATTGGACTTCTCTTATCAAGTAGGCTATGCTACAAGCAGGAAGGTCGCGGGTTCAAGTCCCTATGAGGTCACTGGATTTTTTCAGTTTACCTAATCCTTCCAGCCGCACTAGGCCCTGGGGTTTACTTAGTCTCTAACAGAAATGAGTACCAGGAATTAATTAAATAATTTTCCTGGGAAGTAAAGCGCAGCCGCGCGTAAGGATGACAACCTTACTGCTATCTTTGAGCCGATTGTCTAGATAATGTGGGACCCCCAACGTCTCACAATCCTATGGGCCTTCACGGCCTGGTACAGGGATAGCTTTACTTTTTTTTTACTTCTCTTATCAAGTAGAGATTTAATGTGATTATGTTCATAAAATATTCTCGTCCTATTCAAGAGTAAATAGGATAACCGTGAGGTGTTCATGGACAATGGGACTGCCATGGTTAATTTAAAACATAAAAATCTGTGTAAGCATGTGGAGAAAATATTTTTTGACCACCTTCTTTACTTTAACTCCTGTTTGAAGCAAAGTAGCAGGTATATGAACCACCTGATTTTATATTTAAATGTTTGCCTTAAGTCTACTAAGTTTTCATAAGATTCTCAAAATACCGGTTTTTTAATAAACGTTAACTTGTTGGTCTTCGTAACAGAGGTGCAGTTTGTTTTGTTTCTGTGAGCAGGGACTAAATTTAAAATATGATTTAGATGAACTTCGGGTTCAGAAGGCCTACATATCATTGTCATTCAGCTGTTCCTAAGTGTAGACCTGTATAGAAAAAATATATCGAATATTACTATACCATGCAAAAAGAGATAGTGGTGAATATCTCCTAGGATATAACGCCAAGTAGTCTGGAAAAAGTCTACCGTCGTTTCGGAGGAACTTGCTGCCTCGTATTCCTTAGCCGTTCGCTTCATAGCCGTGAGAACTACTAATCTCAGATCCAGGTTCATTCAGGGTATGAAGCAAAACACTAGCTTTAGACAGAAATCTTAAACGAGTTAATATGGAGCGGAATGCTTCGTAACAAGCTCATATTCCTTTAGCTGGCAAAAAAAAAACCAGTCAAATTTATGGAATTTATTACACATGTTCAGGACATCAGGCACTGGGTCTGATCCTTAAGAAGTCCGGAGAATCAAATCTCCTTCTTCACGTCCCGTTAATATTATTCCCTCATCCACATCTGTCTCACCCTCCAGGATTTCTAACTAATATATATTGCAGAAATGTCTCATCGCCCGCGTATTGGCTGCAATCCAACCAATGCCATCCTTCTTGGTATCATTGTACGATAAAATTAATGAAGAGTATGCATTATGAATAACGTAATTTTACAGTTTTTCTACTTGTTGAGTCCAAATATTACATTTAATGTCTTGTTCCCTATTTGTGTTCCATCCGAGATTAAAAACTGGAACCGCTCCTAAGTGTCCTCGCAGATTGGATGAAGCAGTAATTTTCAGCCAATCTGCTCGGTATCACAAGCCTAGTCACTGAAATTTGATGTTTTCGACGAGAACCCGAGTGTCTCCTACCTTCCAACCCAAGGGAGGAAATAAATTCGTTTTCCAAAACTTTGTGTTCTTTCGACATGATGTATCAGTGGTTCTAACAGATCTGGAGTCCGCGGTCCGCCCCTAGCATCATATTGCACACACAAGGGCCCCTCGCCCCTCCACATTTAATTATCTTCATATCAACTTGAAACATTCAAATACAATAACTTATTTGAAATATTTTATTGCATGTACAAAGTTTCCACTCTATTTTCTTACCTCAGTCCTTTTAACGAGAAAATGGCTGAGTGAGCACTGTATAACTAGCATGGACACCAGCACACAATTTCAAGTCCAACTTATTTATTATACCATTATTCCAGACAAATATATTTTCTTTCTAACTTATAACAGGAAAACAAAAATAATCTCGCTGACCCCTTGGCCATGCCTTGCGGGTCTCTAGAATTCCGACGACCACACTCTCGGAGTGACTATACAAGATGATGCATAAGCGAAGAAACTCTAGGGACCCTTCAGGACCGACAGTGCATATTTTTCTGCCCTTAAGGGCAAGAGACCAAGATGAACAAATTGTCCATGAGCTCAATAAATTAAACACCACGCCATTGTGTTCATGAAAATAGCTGTTGATCACACTTGAAAGTCGATGCAATGCTTAGTTCTCCTATAGCATTACATTTGTAGTACTCAGGGATTATGGCGGACAGATGTGGACAAATAAAAACAGCCGTGATAAGTTTTATCTGAAGCCCATTTTATGGGCGAGGTTCTCACTATGGTGACCTTGAGGATTATTGAATTTTGGCTTGTGTCCCTTGCAGTCTTTTTCTGATGATAAACAGTTTCGTATATTGTACACGATGGTTGTTGATGTTCAGCATAACGCACTTTTCTGTGAACGTGTATATAATTTGATAATTTCTGCAACCGTTAGGGAGTCGCAAGTATATTATACTTGGAAAAATGTCCAGAAATTAAAATTTTAATCTAAATTAATTAAAATTCTGTTTTTGTGTTGTCCCCCATTGTAGTGTAACCTTCGCCAGGGGTTCTCTGGTATACTATCTGGAATTAATTTACCACGTGTATTACTGTTTAAGTTTTTATTATTTGTTATTTGTATAATTTTATTAGTTCTTCGGTTTTATTTATTGTTGTGTCGACGGCCAAATGTCATAAACTAGGAACTAAACACAATAAGAAGATATGAAATTTACATGATTATGAAAACAAACCTTAGAATCAAGAAACATTCCCAGGTCTTTACGAGAATCTGTACGGGTTAAAGTAGACTGAAAAATTTATACTCTTAGATAAAAATCATCGTTTTCCTAGAGAAGATTATAACTTGAATTTTATCATTATTCAGTACATAATAATAATAATAATAATAATAATAATAATAATAATAGTTCAGAAACAAGTTTTGACATTAGAACCTGGTCTTAGCTGTTCATGTATTTTCGTTACATGTATATTAATCACCAAATTTTATATATGACTATCATTAAATTTGTTATCAGTTAATGGATACACTAATTTTTATATTGTGTGGAACCATTCATATACATGCAGTATGTAACGAAAGCCAGAGAAAAGTCCTAATATCTAAGCTTTAGATGAATATGTATCATATTTTAGTTTATGATTAATCGTCGTGTTGACGAAAATAATAATTGTTAAAGATATTATTAACTCCACACAATTATACATATGCAGTAAATGTATGTAGCGAAAGCCAGAGAAAAGTCCTAATATCTAAGCTTGTGGATGAATATTTGTTATGTTTTAGTTTATAATTAACAGTTGTGTTGACGAAAATAACAATTGTTAAAAAATGTTATTAACTCCACACAATTGTATGCTTCAGTTCAAAATATTCAGCTAAAGACGCTTTGAATCTCCCAAAATGCGGCAGATCATTTTCTGGTTCGCAGGGTTCCACGTGGCCTGCCCTGCACATGCTTGCTGCTTCTTGGTTCCCTCCGCTGCAGCGAAGTGGATTTGTATCCTGCTACTCCGGTAATTATGAGAAAGGATGTTTGTTTTATCGCGAGCCCGAGCACCGTAGATTTGACGGAACTGTCAGCCGCTATGAGGCCGCAAAGCCGTCCGATAGGGTATTAAATTGCATCTTTTATTGGGAAGAAAGGAGATGTGTGTGTTTTGTAATGTGATTGGTGCATTTTACGTTTCTTCTTACATATAGTTATAATGTATTTTGTATGGTGCCTGAAGTAATGTAGAACAATAACCTTAAGTGGGGATATTTCTAAATTAGTGAATACTGGCATGACTGATTAAATTTTTGTGATATGTTCGGCTGCTTGCATTTTTTATATTCTTAGGTATAGTTAAGATGTGTTAATATACGATGCATGAATACGTAGCACATTGCTTTCGGTGGGAATATTTATAATTAATATATTGTAATTAATTTGTGATTTGGTTGGCTAAATTTTATTTTGTGTTGTTTTCGTTTAACTACGTTATGTATTTTTGTGTGCCTGGAGTTACGCTCGGATATGTCTGTCTGGGTACCTTTTGTGAGGAAGATTCCTGGTGGGTACATTTTTTGTGTCCTGCCATCTGGCGAGTGTGTTTGTAGGATGAACTTTAATATCGGGTTGAGGCACTATGCTACAAGCCGGAAGGTCGCGGGATCGAATCCTTCCAGCCGCATTATGGCCCTGGGGTCGACTCAGCCTCTAACAGAAATGAGTACCACGTATAATGTTGGAGGTAAAGGAAGGCCGGTGCGTAAGGCTGACAACCTTACCACCATCTATGAGCCGAGTGTCTGAAAAATGTTGGAACCTCAACATCTCACAACCTTATGGGCCTCCATGACCTGTTACAGGGATAGCTTTACTTACTTTACGTTATTCGATAATATATACTCATTATTAATTTCTGTTGACTAAATCCGTGTGTGTGAAAGCGTTCTAGCGTGCTTTATAAGTGACGTTTCCCCTCTATGAAGTACTTCTTATTTTAACATGTTATTTCCAGTTACATAATTTTACAAAATATCTGATGTTTTTTTGTGGTTTCACGCCACCTCTTCATTTCTTCCTAACTTTTCTCCCCCTAGGCACGTAATTACAATTTGCCTCTATTTTCTGTTGTTTGCGGTTCGTATTTACATGTTCATAGTTGCTTCTGTACTCCTGACTAATTTTGGCGCTTATGTAGGCATTTTATTATTCTGCAACGACTTTATTTCGATTATGATATAGGTCTAATATTGTATAACAATAATAATAACAACAATAATAATTCAGAAGTATTTAGAAGGCTTCCATGGAGCTGCAGAAAACTGCCATTCTGGGAACAGGTATCTTCAGGAGTATTCTAACTTACCGTTCTATTTGATTCCAAATATACTTCCCATGAAGCAGTTGCCTGATGAGCGTTAGAGAAAATGTTTGGTCCTGGCTCATGGTCAGAATACTGTATTATGGTGTGGATTTGCAAATATGACGAAGTTCATAATGATGATGATAATAATAATAATAACAAAGAAACTTGACGCTGTTGCAGCTGTGTCGGTAGGCCACGCTATGGCAGGGCTGTTAGGGACACCATTAGTATTGGCCCTGGGTCGAGACTCATTATGTTACCTGCTGGCAACTCTCACTCTTCTGTGGGCTATGGGCTGGTGGATTCTAGTGCGAGAATCGCCTGCAGAACATCCCCGGCTTTCTGACGAACAGAGGCGTCATTTGCAGAGGGCAATTGGACCCGGATTGTCTGCTAGGAATGCTGTAAGTTGCTTAAGAGACAGACACACAGACAGACTTACATAGTCTCACTTTAACCATTTGACTGCCAACGAACCGACTACGCAATTGAATCTGATTCTCCTTGAGCTGAAACGTTTTTAGCTGGTTATTTAACGATGCTGCCAGTATCGATACACTATACCGCTGAAGACAGAATTATTAATGAATATGGAGCAGTTTGAATTGGAATTGGTAGAGGAAATGGAAATACTCGGAAGAAAACCCGCCCGAGTACCACTTTGTCCGCCACAAATCCCGTATTACTTGTCCTGGGATTGAAGAGGGCCGCCGCGATGAGAAACCAGCGACTAAATTCCTGTTCCATGGCACGATTTCAGTTCCTAAACGATGCCATCTCTTCTGCTTACAAATTGGTTTTCTATTACATGTAATCCATACTTCAGTCAAGAGATGGCACTGCTATGCAAAGTGATTTCTGACACTCAGTGAGTCTCATCTGACCACTTTAGGTCCATTCGGGGGGGGGGAATATTTGAAAACCAGCTGTTAATTTCATCGCGTCCGTCAGTCTGTCCTCTGAATGTCACAGAATTGTAGTTACATAACCTATTTCGACCTGACTACATACCTACATTTAATTTCATCCAGGATTTCTCAATTTTTTCTTATATCACCATATTGTTTGGTAAGTGGTTACAAATATGTCGGAAGAGTATACTGCCTCGATCTTCAGGGTTACGTTTCCACCCACCAGACCTCATAGTGTAGTAGCCCGGAAGTTCACAATGTTCACAGTTATTGCCTCATGTAGTAGACTTCATAGTTCAAAGACGTCTGGCGTTCTCACAGCAGTAAAAACATCTGCTGTGAGAACGCCAGACGTCTTTGAACTATGAAGTCTACTACATGAGGCAATAACTGTGAAACAGGAAACTGCTAAATAGGACGAGGATGTAATTAGCGGGAAGACGATCACTCAGGGTTACAGAATGAAGGGGAGACAGAACCTCAACAAAGGGGAATAGGTTAGCAAAAGGCGCAGGACGCATTGATATTGACATAAGTGTAATTACCAAAGAGGCCGCGCCATAGCTCAAGCGTTTAGTCGCTGGCTTCCCACCGCGGCGGCCCGGGTTCGATCCCGGGTCTGGTCAAGCGGGATTTGTGGTTCACAAAATGACGCTGGGGAAGGTTTTCTCCGAGTACTTCGGTTTCCCCTGCCAATCTTTATTCCACCAATTGCTCCACAATCACCCTCACCCATCATCTGGGGCTGGTACAATAGGCCAGAAGTGGCCGCAGTACAAGGGACTCAGTCCCACCCCACTAGCAATAAAAAATATAATTACCAAAACAATGTTTCATGTCATGATAGTAACAGGAAACGTAACGTTGTCTCTCTGCCTAATTAATTAAGCATCAAACCATATGGACGTATGGGGGAGCGGAGCGAATGCTGCTTGCTAAATTGCTGCTGGCCCTCACCAGCACAATGATTCTTGGTTCCGAGTCTCACGGGACTCATGAACGTATTTTACCGACTGACGGCTTTTGGAGCCTTCAGTCCACTCTCATCCGGGGAGTGGAGGTACAGGTCCACCATTCTTGAACTTGGTACTAGATAGAGGAGAGCGGACAACTTCACGACCCGGCCGCTTTAACCCTGTGTAAATCTCCTCCTGTATCCATTGGATAGGAGGCTGGGTGGGTCTCTTATTCGGTCTGGACGCTGTGGAGTAGAAAGATTTCCCTTGTTTCTTCCTGGAATCGAATTCTTGCCTTCCTACCTGTAGCCCGATGCTATACCGACTGAGCTATTCCGGCTCTCATGTCATCATACGAGTAGTTAGCTTATTTATTCTTCGTTTATGTACGCTTGCATCAGCGCAGATTATGTTGCGTTCAACAATGGGAAGATAGTTAATAATGAACAGGAACAAAGTTGTTATGTCCTAATTTCAGGAACTCCCAAGACATTTGCTTGGATGAGTGTAGGGAACTATGAGAATCCTCGGCCAGGAAAGCCGGTTTCAGGACAAATATATTAGTAATTTCACTGTGCAATCATTATTTTGCTATGCACCGATATTATGCCCTATCATGTTTGTGGTAAGTTTTCGTTAACCGATTTAAGAATCGTAAATTCAAAGACGTGCATCAAAACATGTTGCAGGTTCCTCCACCGCCGTGGCGACGTCTGCTGTCTTCTCTGCCGGTTTGGGCCTGCGCAATGGCCACCTTGGGCAGTCATTGGGGTCAGGCTACCCTGCAACTTGCGGTCACCAAGTACCTTATGCTGGTGTATGGCTTTGCTCTCAGATACGTAAGAACATCTACACGTCTTTTGTCTTATAGGTTTCTTCTTTTCACACCTTAGTAGCCGGGAAAATGGCTCAAGCAGTGGGATGTACTCGGTTTGAACCTTGGTCGGATAACCTACTTTGCTGACTAAAGAGGTTCCTGGTTTCCTTCAGTCACTGCAGACAAACGTCGGGACACATGAGCTAGGCAATAAGCGCTCCTTTTCAGTTAATTTTTCTCCATTTATCCTTATCATTCGGCGCTATGTATTTCTCTGAGTTACTCAGCGTCGTTAAACGAACCACAGACAAACACGACTATGTTAGCCATTCTCGAACCCCGTAGCTCTCATTTCTGTTCCCTTCATTTGCATTTCTTCTTGTTAACATACTTCCTTTATTTTGAAAAATGAAAGTAGGCTTATGCGATGTTCATGCTGCCTGTGTGTTTGTGAATGCCTCCTTATTAACTTTTGAATGCTTGAACCATTCCTTATGAAACTTGGTATATACAACAAGGCACCTGAGCCCAATACAACGGCGTACTTTATAAATCCCTCCCATCAGTCTGTATGTCCGCAGGTCTATTCCTCCTATCGTTACTAGACAAAGGTTCGGTAAAGTGTATCCTTCCCTTCATTGCTAGGCAACGGCTCTGTAAACACGTTCAGGAGGAAACGAATACACACAGCAATGGACGCGTGTATCTGTGGGTCTATGTATCCTACTATCGTTGCTAGGTAATAATTCGGAAAAGGCGTTCCCGCTGCAATGAAGAATTGTTACAGGCGACGTTTTCTGTAAGGTCTGTGTCTCGTATCAAAGGAAAGTACCTGATTAGTTCATCCCAGACCTACTAAGCATACTTTCCTTTTTATTAAAAAATGAAAGTAGGCTTATGCGTTCAACCGCACCTGAGGTCTAGTGGTCAGCGTTCCTGGCTACAAATCCAGAGGCCCGGGTTCGATTTCCGGCCATACCAAATTTTCTGAGAAGTAATGGATCTGGAACGGGGTCCACTCGGCCTCATGAGGATAATTGGGGAGCTATTTCAAGAAAATAGCGGCTCTCCCCTGTGCGTTCGTTCCCACGACCTGAATATCTTGTTAGAGAACTATAAATTCTATCTTAATTCTAGCGACAGTCGGACAGGGTGGGATGCAGTCGCCGAATCTGAGGTTCGTTTCCTAAATCTTTACTCTAAAGAAGTATTTAGCTGTCACTTTCAGCCCCTGATATACATTCATGCAGGTGTGCAGTCCATGAGACTGCCGGATACATAAGTTATCAATATAATGTGACAACCCGAAAAGGGAAACCTTAGAGATCTCTATTCAATGCTGTGCTAAAGAACTACAATTCTCTACCGAATACAAAAACAAAAAACAAACTCCGTGGTTTTAGTCCGCAAGCGAACTATGCCGACCGAGCAACCACCGCTTGTCGTCGAAGTTAGTGCCAACCTTAACCGATAGAAAGTGTCGCGTGGTCAGCGCAAAGAATCCCCACGACAGTTAATTTTCGGTTCTCTAGACCGGGCTCTACCGAATACAATGATACAGAAACAAATGTTACATATAGAATTTTCACAGAATATGGAGTTTTGGTTCCTGTAGTTATACAGGATGCTACAGGCTGGAGGGACTGAGGAAACTACGGAAAACCACAGCCAGGCTAATCAGCATTCCTACTGAGATTCGAACTGGCCAATCACCGAATACAAATCAGAAGTATTATTGCTTGAGCTAACCTGTTTGGCGGGTTCCATCAAAGAAGAGGATATCTTGGTCGGCTGAGCGACTGTTAGCTTCTCAATAAGTACTTTTCTGCATGTACTTAGCGTAGTTCTTTCTGAAGATGCTATGTGGAGAAGATAAAACTAATTCATCATAATTTGGCCCATATCCTTATACAGCACGTCTGTAAACAGTGGGAAATGTGCAGTAACAATAGACACGTTACAGACAGCCTGACGATGACGTAATATCAAAATATGTCGGTATAATAGAGTAGTGCCTAGCTGATCACTCGCCCAAGGAGTCCTACCGAATGTGTAAGATCTAGAAAAAAACCGAAGTGAACGGAGAAGTTCATGGAGGTAGGCCTAGGCCCACTGGGGCTGTAGTGCCAAGGGGAAAAAAATAAAGTAGTGTATGTAATTAAGATGTCTATACGCATGGTTGTGTAGACGGCTATATAGTATTAATTAAGCACTGCAATTTGACTAACTAAATAACTGACTGACTGACTGACTCTATGGAGCCATGTTCTTCTTGAGAAGCCACAAGTCGCTTGGCTACTCAAGCATTTCCTAACATTTTATAGAACCTGATGTTCGTTACCGTGTTACTGCTACTGGTCCCATTTCTAAGCCAAATAAATTAAGTCCATACCACTCCTTCCTCTAAGATACATTTTTATATTATCCTCCCACCTACATCTAGGTCTTCCTAGTGGTCCCTTTCCTTTTGGCTTGCTACTAAAACTCTATATGCATTCCATTAGCCTCATACGTGCTAAATGTCCCGTACATTTCATATTTGGCGGAAAGCGTAAGTTGTGGAGCTCCTCATTATAAAATTTTCTCCATTTTTCTTCCGTCAAAATATTATCTTCATCGTCGCGTTCACAAACACGTTGAATCTTTTTCTTGCCTTAACATGAGAGACGAAGTTTCACACCCATACAAAATATTGCAAGTAGACTACAGTTAAAAATTGTAATAAACCGATTAAATATAATGGCTGATGTTTTTCTTAGGACCGCGTGTTGTCAGTGCTGCCGCATTTTGGTCATTTTCTCGCTGCCCTGACATTCGGGCGTGTGGTGGACCACGTGCGTGGACAAGCCCTTGTGTCTACAACGACAGCCAGAAAACTACTCGTCTATATCTGTAAGTCGAATCACATTGCTCTGAATAAGAAGTCGTTGTTCCATGTGCGCATGCAACTACAGTACGTAGTGCTGGGGAGAGGCCTCGTATTAGGGAGATCTTTCATTCGTGTCCCGGCTGGAAGGCCTACTCTCCTGATTGAGGCTCTTCGTGGTTTTATTAAGTTATTCCAGATAAATATTGAGATAATACTGTGAATCAGGCCTCGACGATTTCTTCCAGCTTATTGTTCATAATCTTGTTCTGGTCACTATCATGTTGAGTGGCCTCTGAAATTCGGGACTTGTGCAAGCATTAATGCCGCCTCAAACGACGAGGAATTCATCCCCCCCCCAAAAGAAATATAAAGAGGTTTATACGTTCTCAAAAATTCGTATTTCGTTTCGTGATCTTCATTACATATATCAGAGGAACTAATAGTAGGAATGCGGTGTCATGCGGTCACAACAATCGCGGCTATCCTACAGTCTTCATGTTACATAATTACATAACAATGCCAGCGTTTACGGTTCGCATTAATATATACATTGTTGCATAACGTGCTTAGTCGAATGTTAGCTGGTAGTCACAATATGAATAAAAAGTCAGCAGATCAAATGTTAGTTGTCCCTGGGCTTCATGAATTAGGCACTGCGCCATGAAGTCGTGTGGTGGAGTACAGTATAGCATAGCTTCACTGTTTTTAATCTTAGCCCTTAATTGTGGCGAGTGGTCAGCTTCTGTGGCTGTATCTCTGGGGAAACATCCCCCGGTACCTGGATAGGAAGACGGTTGGGCCCCAGTTTTGGTGTGGACGATATGGAAAAGAGAAGAATTTATTGCCTCTACCGGCAATCGAATCCTTATTCCTTCATCGCCCAGCCCGTTGCCTAATCACTATACATACTGAGCTAACCCGGCTATTTCTACTTAACAAAGGACCGAAAAATAGGAGTTGTAAATTACGTCATTCCGAAAATTGTAACATCTCGGGGGATTCTTTGGTTCGCCTGTGTTGTGCTGGCTGTGACTGAAACTGATAGAGACTCCCTAAATAGTCTCAGACCCAGCGGATAACCCTACGTGTTTTTACTTGAAATTAGACATCATCAAGGTATTCTGTTATAATATGAGAAACCGTTAATACACAAGGGCCTATTACACTGATCTCATAACTGTCATTGTAAATTGATAGTTTGTTTGACTCTGTCAGTATCTGAGATTGAAAAACGTCGAATGGTACGAGTAGCCTGAGGTATACAAAAATGTTAGCCTCATTTTTAAAATGTCTAAAATTTCATTTATCATCAGCACTATATCATATTCCCAGCTGATTAAACGTCCTCAAATAAACCAATAAGCAACATATATACAACAATGTCCGCAATAGATAGTATTAAGGAGTAATGAAAATATGCAGTCAATGATCAATATAAATGATTGGTTGTGCCGGATGTAGACTGTTGTCTTTTGGGTTATAAGACCTTGCAACCTGGTCGGTACGGTCGGTACGTACTGACCACAGATCTGACTAACGTTTCCGAGGAACCAGTTGTTTGAGGCTGTAGACGGCTTTGGGTAACAGCTCTAACGAACAGTAATTGAAGAGTCAGTTTAAATAGTGGCCTATAGATGACAGCATGTACCGATGAAATATGAATAGAGGGCAGCACAAGCTAGACATTATAACATGTACGGAAATTTTGATTTAAATAGTAGATGGCAGCATCTAACGCTGTTCCGACTCCAGAAGTGTACTCGTGTGCCTTAACGGGAGGTCGTTAACAAAAGCACTTATTACTAATCCTCAAGGGGGGAAAAAAAGCTACTGACACTGAAGAAACATAAAGACGATATTAGATTTGTATGCATCCCAGCACACATGCGTATTATCCTCATTGAAATAGCAGATGTGTCGGCAAAGAGCGTATTCGTAAAGGTGAAGACGCCCAATACTTGATTCCTGCCACAGACTTGAAAAGCTACTGGAAGACCAAACCGAGAGTAGCAGCCGAGAAATGGCACAGAAAATCAGGAAAACAGAAGAGAAGGAATTACTCTGAAATCTACTACCAAAACAACGGAAACCCTTGGTTCCAGAGATTTAAGTTTCAAAGAAAATATATCGTCTCACTAAATAGAATATGAAGTGACCAGTATTATTTAAAGGAGTGCTTTATTTATTCGATTTAATATCTTAATGCAGAAATGTGTGAAAGTGGCAAAAACAAAGAAACTATAAATCACATCCTATAAACAAACACACTCCATGATCTGTAGTCCGCAAGCGAACTATATCGACCGAGCGACCGCCGTTTGTCGGCGAAGTTAGTTTAGTCTAGAGGTAACGTTCCCACCTCATGACTCATGGTACGCAGGTTCAAATACCCGGTGGAGGTCGTCGAATTTTTAAGGGCGGAAAAATTCAGGGAACAAATCCTCCGGAAGGGACTTTAAGCTGTGTGTCCCGTGTCGTAACTTTACGGCACGTGAAAGAACCTCATATCTCCAAAGGGGATCACTGAGCCAAATTCCAGGACGTTTCCCCCCCAACAATAGTCTCTAAGGCCTCTGATAGATGGGGGAAGCATTATAGACACCGCTAAGCAAGTGACCGAACTCGCTTGCTCGGCGGGATTGATGGTGCGCACCATTTATCGGTAGGGTATAGAGACTGGTAGAATATCATAGAGGGAAGCACAATAGATCAAACTGGTCGCGGTGCATGGGGAAACCCACCCTCTCTAAATAATAATAATAATAATAGTGCCAACTTTTGGGATAGAGCGTGTCACGTGGTTAGCGCAACGGATCCCCACTGCCCTTAATCTCGGTTTTCAGTACCGGAATCACATCCAATTGCAATATAAATTATTCGACTAATTTAGAGTTCATATGATAGATGGCTTAATGAAACGTAAAATATTTCCACCGTATTGTATCGATGCCAATGTACATTGTATGTTACTGGAAGCAGTAATCACAGTTGCGCGATACATCAACAGTATCAATACAAGAACATAAGTAGGTCGATAAGCACAAGCAGGGATGAACATATGCTAAGACTTTCTATGTTAAAACAGAATTAGTACACAATTACTTTTAGTTAAAACGCTGAAGCTTTATTTTTATACAAGAATAATTAAAGAATACAGAAAAACTGTAGTTGCTGGCAAGATCGGCTTTTCAGTCTAACACCAGTTGTAACTTTCTCTCAAATTAAAAAGGGTTTACGACGTAGGTAAGTAGCATGAAGTGTCGAAGAGGTATTTAAGTAGCAGGCTATAGATGGCAGCATGGACCTATGAGTTATAAGTAGAAGGCACAAGAAGTAATATGGAAGCCAACCAACGTTTTGTCAGAAAGAAATGGTAGAATGTGTAATACGTTTCAAGAGTCTGTAAATTAATTTTCAACTTTTTCCATATCAGTAGATATTAGTATATTATTCCATTGTGAATTGTCTACTGGACTACAAAGGTCTTGGACTGTGACAGTCTACTTTTAAGGTACATTCAACAATGAAATTCGTTGAGAGAACGAGGGATAAGTTTGTTACTGGTTACAGAAGGAAGCAAAGAGCCAGATGGCTCAAGCAGTAGCACTTCTGAATTGCATCTGGGAGGTGCCCGGTTCTAATCTCGGCTGAACACCGACCAACCTCACCGAGGTTCATCGTGGTTTATCTCAGTCCCTGAAGACAGAAAGCTCAAATCGGATCACCATAGCTCCTCCCCTTTGCTCTTCCAATTAATTAATTATTAATCATCTAATCATTCCACGGTAGAGCTAGGAGCCAGAGAAGGTAAAAGTGAAGCCCCTGTGCTAATTAAGCACCACACCATGAGATGTATGGGTGTGGAAGTATAGCTCCACTCATTCTTAACCTCGGCACTAGAGGGAAGTGATTGATCGGCTTCACTCCCAGGTCCTTACTACTGGGGAAAGGGTCCCTGGTACCCTCAGGGGCTGACGAGCCCAAAGTTAGGTCTGAACGCGATGACGAAGAGAACAAATCTCTGCCCAATTGCCCGGTCTTTCATCTCGTAGCCTAGTTACTATGCTGACCGCACTACTCCTGAATCTGAGCTGGCACGTTTATTTGTAGCGTTTAGCAGTGTGAGTTATCTCAGATTACACAGCCTTCAATGAAGAAATAACGATTGATGGACTGGAAGAAAGGTGGAAGGAAACAGCCTTGACTAAATTTATGGAACCTTCTTGATATTTTCTGGAGGTACTGAGTAAAATCACGCATTCATTTTAGATAATTGATATTCTGGCCAAGATTCGAACCGATCACCTCTCGAATACAAATCTTTACTTTACTTTACTTAACCCCTTGAGCCAACTCGCTCAGTAGGAGTTACTGAATTAGAATTCGGTGTGATATTTTTCTCGCGTTGAGCCCACTTCTTGCCGGGCGCTGTCCTCTTCGTTGTGGGATACAGCGGATGTGACCCAGCGACACCCGCTGCCATCTATACTGCAGCCGTCGTGGTTAGTGGCGCCACTGCAGCCGGCGTCTACTCTAGCGCCGTTGATGTTGCACCCAATTTCGCAGGTACGGAAGCGTGTTACAAAAATTCAATTTCTCTGTGTTCTTTGCCTGAAGTGAATGAAATGCGCCCCAAAACACCCAAGACCTATGTGTTCCTTACTGCTAGTGAATGAAATGCGCTAAAAAACATAAAGACTCTGTTATTTACTCAAAATGAATGAAGTGAGGGCACAGTGGCCTTATGTGTGTCCGTCCGCATGTTTGATCCCCAGAACCACTCACCGGATTTTGATTCTAAGGATTCTACGCAAAACATTTGGATAAATATGATTTCGGGTTGCATCCGCCCAACAACAGAACTGCTTTACGTGCAGGTCAAATTGCACCGAAGATAAATTTGAAGAGGCATAATTTATTGCATGATGCAAACCACAATTCTAAAAATGTGCTAGTATTTACTGATTTTACCCGTCGACAGCCCGTCGAGAGGCTAAATATTTTGCTTTGCATTTCGGACGTCACTGTAGACCAGTTTCCCTGGATTTTTCGAGGTATTCCTCAGCCCCTCTAGGAAAATGTAGGGGTAATGCTTCCAGTTAGACCACAGTAGCTTTCTTCTACATTCTCCTGATAATTCATAATTTATTAGCATCTATAAACTGTTACACGAGTATAATTGGACAAGTCAGTTTAAGCCGTCTAAAGCACTACAAGTCAACAACTCTTAAAAATGTACAAAATGATACGCAAGACTTAGAACAATACATCATTCCCCCACTGAAGCTAGCAACTGAGTATGACACCCGCCACGAATCCAATATAATGCAACGCATACACTAACATCCACACCACGTCAGAAGCAACCCGAGCCACCAAACTACCGTCCATCACTGTTACTAAAAAACTCCTGCAAATAATAAAAAAAGTTTTGTAATAAATAACTTTTTAATTTATTTTTAAAAGCTTTAAATATTCTATTCTTTTTAATTCAGGGGTCAATTCTCATGTTAATTGCAATTATTTTACAACGAACAGTTAATTGTTCCCATATTTCGATGATAAGTAGACGGAACTACTGAAAATAAAACCATAAATTAACAAATAAAACTTGTACTTGTCTGATATGTTGGGTTTTTGGACTTTATCCATAAAGTCCAAAAACCCAACATATCAGTGTATTGTACTTGTCTGGTACGAATGTTTGTATGTAGTCTGCAGACTGATTCTTGATAGCGAGGTACATTAATGAATAAATTCGCTTTCTTTATTACAGATATTGTGAAATAGCGATTGAAAGGGCTAACAATTTTCTAAACTTGCAGGAACTGTTTTTGGTCTGAGTCAAACATTTGGCGCCGCTGGGAGCCTGGCAGCCAGCTACGTCGTCAAGGAAGGTCTTCATGGATCTGTAAGTGCAGCGAAACTGTTGCGTGTTGCGAATGTTGACATCCGAGTTCACATTTAGTGTTGTGTTTTGGCCCTTTTTTGGACTTTGACCATTCGCAGAAGTGTTAGTGAGAGAAATTCACATTTCCGAGTGAATAATACTCACTTGATGAAATTTATCTTCAGAATCGGATGCAGTATTTAGGGTTGCCATGTCGTGTGGATTGTGTTGCCAGCAGAGATACGGGACAGAGATACTTACCACTGATGGGCTCATATTGTCATAATTCTTGAATTTGGCAGTTTTTATGTTCTGATTTCTGATACAGTGTCCTCCTTTTCTTCTTGATGCAATCTTTCATTAATGTCATTCCTATCTGTTCTCGTAATGTTTTCATTTTTCAAAATTTCGTTAATATAGTGAGGACTTCATTTTTAAATCCATGTGATTCATGTATATAAGTTTCAGCAGCTTAACTCTAGAGATCGGAGAAGAAAATTATTGGTAAATTATCAACGTTAGATTATTATCAATTGCTGAAAACTTATTTAACAGTATCTCAGTCTGTAGCTCGCTCTACACAGAATAGAGGATACGCGTACATTCAGCTAAATTTTTAAGAATTCATTATTTATCTCACAGGAAACACGTTGCGCCCCCCTCCACAGATCCTGCCGGTTAATGTTGTGTGGAGAAATACATAAATACACTGTGTTCATAAATGTTAAAGTACAGTAGTAAATAAAGTGGTTGGTACGTAGAGTAACCAGTATGATTTAGTGCAGTAGTGAAACGCCACGGGAAGTCGCGACCGAGCGGTTAGCACCCCTGCTTCGTGTTGGAAGTTCCGGGTTCAAACCTCTGTTCGGAGACCGACGTGCCTTCCTGAGGTACTTCGTCATTTTCCCTTTTCTAGGAAAATGTTTTATTAGAATAATTCTTCAAGCCCAAACGGTTAGTCGTTGGCTTCTCATCGCGGCAGCCCGGGTTCGATCCCGGGTCTGGTCAAGTGGGATTTGTGGTAGACAAAGTGGCGCTGGGGCAGGTTTTCTCCGAGTATTTCGGTTTCCCCTGCCAATCTTCATTCCACCAATTGCTCCACAGTCACCCTCCCCTATCAACTGGGGCTGGTACAATAGGCCATAAGTGGCTGCAGTACAAGAGACTTAGTCCCACCCCACAAGCAATTAAAAAAACCACTTGGGCTATGGCGCGGCCAACACACGTGCTGGTTGTAGGTAGTACTAGTTCTACCGGCAGGTGGATATGCTAACAACAGTCTCTCTGTCTTTACCTCTCATTTTCTTTTAAAAATTCTAATTTAAAAGGATTTCTTAAACCATAAATATTTTACTCTTTCAGAGTTGGAAGTTGTGACTGGACTGTGAAAACACGAAACGGAGCCTCTAATAAGTAATAGATAGATAAATAAACAAAGAAATAGCCCTTTAATTGTTCAAAGCTTATACAAAAGTGTATATTTTTATGTCGTGTTTATGTTGGACGCTAAGGTGGATCGGTCCCTAACATATAAGTCTGGTAAGATCTAGAGTTCAAGTCAAAATAGGAGCTCAGTCGGTGCACCAACAGACTACGAGCTGGACGGCCGGGGTTAGACTCCCGACACAGGCAAGAGATTTTTCTTTGCTTCATAGCGTTCCGACTGTCTCTGGTGATCACGCAGCCTCCTATTCAAAGGGTACCGGAGGCATGTTCCCCGCGGGTAAAGCGGCCAGATGGTAAAACTGACCACTCATCTCCATTTAGTGCCGAGGTCAAGAATAGTGGAGCTATACCTCCACTCCTACATATGTCTTCATGATATAGTGCTCAATAAATTAAACGCAGGGACAGATCTATCATGATCGTGTTTCAATCGGTCCACGCAACATCCCTTCCTCTCATGTCACTTATGTGCTTACGGCGCAGCTGCCCGGGTCATGGCGTCTCGTGTTCGGAGTGGCCGCGTTTGTTCTGGCATTCACCGCGACCGTCTTCATGGCCATCGGCAGTGGCTCTGTCCAACCGTGGAACTACTCGCCCAATCAGCGGGCAGCTGCCCAGGAACCAGCGTCAGAAGACGAAGCAGAGGAAAGAGAGACAGCGGCATCGAGCGTCGTAGTGGACACCGCCTCCGTATCGCAGCAGCCTCCCGAAACGTCAAGTACAACCAAAGCTGCCACAATGACTACAGCGTTGTAAGTTCGCTGCTGAAATGTGAGTATAAAGGACGACTCGTAAAATGCACACGCCATTGCATTCGTTAAGTGTGTGATTAATGATTAGTTTTGCTCGAAGTGAAAACTCCTACAAATTGTGGTCTGGTCTCCAGAGAAGACTTGAATTGAATGGACTACACATGCCTTAAATCTAAACTCACGATGTTAATTTATCGGCGAAACGCAAGAATACCATAAGGAGAAACATAGACGCTCTTTTAGGGGCTACTAACGAGGTAGGACTGAAAGTGAGCAGCAGACAGAAAGAAACACATCTCTACGAGTACGTTCATGTCTTGTTATCAGGATGCAGGATGGAATCATGAGAATATGACAAGTTTCAAACATTTGAGAAAAATAGTAGCAAATAAAAATTCAATTCATGAAGTATTATTATTTTTTTTATTGCTAGTGGGGTGGGACTTGCCGGTCACGGTAGCCGAGCGGTCTAAGGCGTGCACTTCTTCGCTCGCTCGGAAGCCGGGATCGTGGGTTCGAATCTCACTCAGGGCATGGATGTTTGTGTGCGTTTTTCTGTGTTTGTGTCCAGGTAGAGGCCTTACGACGAGCTGATGACCCGCCCAAGGAGTCCTACCGTATGTCTAAGATCTAGAAAAACCGAAGTGAACGGAGAAGTTCATGGAGGTAGGCCTAGGCCCACTGGGGCTGTAGTGTCAAGGGGGGGGGAAGTGGGGTGGGTCTAAGTCCCTTGTACTGCGGCCACTTCTGGCCTACTGTACCAGCCCCAGATGATAGGTGAGGGTGATTCTGGAGCAATTGGTGGAATGAAGATTGGCAAGGGAAACCGAAGTACTCGGAGAAAACCAGCCCCAGCGCCACTTTGTCCACTACAAATCCCACTCGACGAGACCCGGGATCGAACTCGGGCCGCCGCGATGGGAAACCAGCGACTAACCGCTTGAGCTATGGCGCGGCCGAATTCATGAAGTAACTAAGAGGTGAAATGTGGGGAATACTTGCTACTTCTCAGTTCAGACATTTTGCCTGCCGGTCCGCTATCTGTAAGCTTAAAGATTACTGTATGTACATAAATAAAACTTTATTTCTTTTGACTTTTTTGCCACGGGCATTTAATTTGGTCTTTCATATTAAAATAAGAACGTGGATTGAAGGGTGGGGGGCGTTGAAAATATAGAGTGTAGGAGTCAGTACTTGAACTTAAGGAAAAGAGAATGACAGGAGGCCGGGGAAATTGCGTGGCAAGAAAACTCATTACGTGTGTTCTCCACAAAATATTATTAGGTTGATCAAGTCATGGAGGTTGAGATGGGCGGGGAGTGTAGAAATATATCCATGATTTTGGTCGGATCCTCTAAAGAGGAAAGACCACATGGGAGTCATAGGAGTAGACACGAGTGTAATATTAACAAGATTATTAAAATTATTCTTTACGCATAGATTGGAATAGGAATTTTTAATGTAGTAAATATTAGAGAAATTAACTCGTATATTAGCAGGCCAGGAGTTACACCCTAGCACTACACTAGCACTATGCTACAGGCCGGAAGGTCGCGAGTTTTATTCCCGATGAGGTCACTGGATTTTTTAAATTGACCTAATACTTCAATATAGACATGTATTATTTTGCCCAACTTTTGGAAATATACGCAATATTGAAAAGAAAATATTTAAACAAATTTGAAGCCCATAATTTTTCCCGTGGGGCATGCGGCAGCGTAGTTGGTTGCGGCACTATGCTACAAGCCGGAAGATCACGGGTTCGATTCCCGATGAGGTAGATTTTTCAATTTTCCTAATCCTTCCAGCCGCACTATTGCCCTGAGGTTGACCCAAACCCTAACAGAAATGAGTACCAGGAATCTTCATGGAGGTAAATTGCAGCTGGCTCGTGAGGCTGACAACCTCAGCACAATCTATGAGAAAATTGTGAATAAAATGCGGGAGCCTCGACGTCTCACAAACTTATGGGTCTCCAGGGCCTGTTACAGGGATAGCTTTGCCTTTTAGAACTCAGGCTTTCCCTTATAATTTTTACAGAGTTTTCTGCCCAATAACTAGTGTTTCCTCAGATCTGGGACTCACATCTCAAGAGAAGAGACCACTTGGGTGGAAAATGAGAAATGAATCATACAGAGAGGGACAGTGTAGATGGGATATGGGTCAAGTACTTCAGGATGCGGCCCGATGGTGAGTGAGATTTAACACGATAATATGCCTGGTTCCATGTAGGAGAGAATTCTTTGCCTAAATGAAAACAAGTAGCTGTTGAAAGAATATACTGCCGTGGGCTTAATTATATATCTGGAGATCTACAGAAAGTTTATCTGAGGATCTGCCGTAAATCTTTCGGCTGGTCCAGCGGGAGGTACACAACGCTACTTGCATCAACTTAAACCGAGCTTGTCCGGACTCATGGTATTGTCGACAGGCAAATAGCCAATACACATTTAATTTCTCTTCAGTATCGCCCCAGTAAATCGTTGAACAGCCACGGAAACTAGAGCTTCATTATGAACCTGTCGATCGCAATCCGAAGCCCCTGCTACTACATGAGACTGCCAGTCAGCCGCCGAACTTCTTGTGTCGAAAAGCTACATACGTAACACATCAAAACCTGAGTTTATATATGATATCCGCATGTAAACAGAGGAGAAGTTTCCTACATAATTGTCATTACGTTTCGATTCAAGACTATTCATGAAGTTTTAAGTAAATTTAGACAAACAGACCCTTTATTTGTCGCGAGAGAAATGGATTGAAAAGACTAATAATCACCTGAGGAGAAGCTGGGCGAATTCGATGCTAATTTTGAATATTCCTTGGAAATCCCTCAGAAATCTTGCACAAGAGGCAGGATTTAAATTTTCAATTTTCAAGTTTCAACATATTGTAACGTCTTTGGCTAGCAACCCGCCGATACAATCCGCAACTCTCCCGTTGCGCGCGTGCCCCGAGGCCTCTGTGGCTCAGTAGTTTCTGCATAGAGCCAATACGCCACAATATGTTGTTTCTTCTCAAAAAGAACTTATACACTTCGATAACATTTGCCGATGTGCAAGAAATACGTACACGCGTAATAACAGAGAGAATTTGCGGCATCTACTGTAAACATAGCGTGTTTTATTGTAGTTTGGTAGCGTGTGGGCTTGTCGATTGTTGGACTTTCGAACTGGGACTTGGGGGAATGGATAACGCAAGGAATTTGAGTCCCTTCACCCGGATCGGCCAAACGACCTGCGGCATGTTCTCAGAAAATCTCCCGGTATTTTTTGCTTTGGATTTTATTAATATGTTTTTAGATAAGTACGTTTCGCACAAAAAGTTGAGTTTAAATCATTAATGTATAAGCACAAGGTATTGTTTTTGGAATAGAAGTGTTTCAACCAGATAACACTGAAGGATAATTTGGTGTAACAAATCGTCAATGTAGAAATGTTATTTCGACTAATTAACTGTTTAAACATAAGAAAACATTTTATTTGGTAAGTCATTTTTCTGTATATTATTTTCTTTCAGTGCTATAATGGAGGCCCCAATCTGTAAGGAAGAAGAAACCATACTTTTTCTCATATGATATTTGTGATCTTACGCTCCGACGGTTTTCTTTCGGATCCAATCATGTCATGCCTACTGTGTCACGAAGAAGGACGCTAAAGTGATGTCAGTTTAAAGCACAAATTAGTAGTCGAAACTTTCTTTACAATACTCTTTATTTTGCTATCACAGTGTAGATTTCTTCGTTTCATACCTCATATAAGCACGTAAAAATTCTGGTCACATATTATTCACGAACTGGTAAAAGAACCTAATGAATAGGTTTAAGTGTGAATAAAACAATCTTCTTACCTGGAAGATCACTTATAATGACACAAAACGCACATTCCGTGTAGTCGCACAGTGGAATAACAAATGTTGTCGTTCTGATCTTGCGATTTCGGTCTTTCTGTATTACCCTCAAGAACTTTTTATCTAAAACATTTATTACATTCAAAATGATAATAAAATTGTTCTTGACTGAAATATTCATCTTAAAATTTTGAACATAAATACAGCCGCTGTTTTTATTTTTGTAGAATATGAACATGGAAATGTTTACGTGAGCGGCCTGTCTCTGAAGCCGGATTGTAAACCTCTGGTATAGAATTTCAGCTGTGAATTGGGATAGACTGGATGATTTAAAATAACAACAAACTTTGTTTTCTTCTGTGTAAGATTTGAGGTTTCCGTGGTGGTGACTATGGAGAATGCCTTCTTCTGGGATGTGGCGCCGTGTAGATAATTTATAAACAGACGTTTCGGAGGAACGCGTCTCCTCCGTCTTCAGGATAGAAAAATACTCGAGTGAGGAACCAGCGTGAGCAGTGGTTGCAGACTGAGTCACCACCACCACGCTGGTTCCTCGCACGTGTATTTTTATACGCTGAAGATGGAGGCGACGCGTTCATCCCAAACGTCGGTTTACACAATATCTACACTGCGCCATATCCCAGAGGACGACGTTCTTCATTGGTTTCTTCTGTCTCTGAATATTACCCGCAGACCTGTTTTTCTTTTTCGCTTTCGAAAATTGTTTTGCCACGGCGTTTTCAATGCACAGTGTTTCTACATCTGCTCATCTGTATTTATGCTATTGTGGCTGCTCATCCAATGTAGCACGATCAGTTTTTAAATAGTACGGAAAACACTGATATGTACATTACAATCAGTCCTCGTCTCAAACAAGACCGCAATGTTATCCGTTGTCCTAGTTTACATTACGTTCACGCGAACATAAAAACTGGGCACAACAAGGTAAAGCAATAATATCCTAGGATTAAAATGATTGAATATTTATGATAATCATATTATCTCTAACAAGCATTGCAAATTCACTGAATGTGACACAAATTTTATGAAACAAATTGGACGGAGATGAACTCAGTTCTCAATCCCAAAGCCTAAGCAGCGTTAGAATACCATTACAGCATGTCTCTAATTTTATTTAACAAGTCTGCTTGGAAGGACACTGGCATTGTTCGGATCATGACCGAGAGGAGGGTATGTCCGTTGACCTTTTGGCTGTGACTTCTTCAGTTACAGGGTCAAGGATCTGGACGTTTCGCACGGGGGCAAGAGTTCGAGGCCTGACAGTTGTAGTTGTTGTTGTCGTGCTGGCCGGAGGTAGGTAAGACTGTGACCGTTCCTGTATGTTCGGATTCTGTTCTATAGGCCTGTGATGCCCTCTTCCTTGCTGCTGTGCTGCTCGAACAGCTAGGAGCATTTGCAGGATCAGCGCGTCACGGTACTGGTCAGGTAGGAAATCCTGAGAATATCCGACCTGCGGGTTGCGTCCAGGATATGATATAGGCTGTTGATAATAATCCTGAGGAGCCGTCTGGTCGTTAGCATAAGGAAGCTGCTGGGAGTACACTGGCTGCGGTCGATAACGTAGCCGTCTTCTTATGTGGTACGGTAACCGACCCAAATAGGGAACTGGATTTTGGTAGTTGCTTGTGTAAGGCTGCTGATAGAGCTGAGGATCATATGGTAAGGCCTGATTATAAGGTATTTGTTGGCTGTAAGGCCCTTGCTGTGGGGAATAAGCTGCTTGTGGGTTAACGTACTGTCCTTGTTGTGGAGGATAAGGAATGGGGTAAGGAATATTTTGGCGGTTGTATTGTGGTTGCCGAGGGCCATAAACTGGCTGTTGCCTGTTTACATTCTGTTGATAAGGATCATCCAGAAGGTCTGGAGGAATATTTTCTCCCAGGGTCATCATCAATGCTATCTGGAATGGCGTAAGTGCTGGCACTGCGCTCTGTTGACGGTATTGATAATCGTCAATATAAGGTGGTTGACGTGGCTGTTGTCGGCCCATCAGGAGCTGTAGGAGCTGCTCCTGAAGGTCGGAGTCAGGTCCCTGAGGAGGATACTGATAATTGGGCCCTGCGTACTGGAAAGCTCCTGGTGGAATTCTGGGGTCCAGGACCCCTCCACGTATAACTCCGAGAGGTATTCTGACAGCTCCACCAAAATCTGATGGTATAGCTCCAGGTGGAATATCGTCCTGAGGATATCCCGGTCTCTGTCTAGTGCCTGCTAAATCCTGAAGTAACTGACTTTGTAATAGGGCACTCTGGACAGCGCGGGATTGTACTGGAATGAAGAAAGACCGGAATGGGACAGCAGGTATGGGTCGTGGGCTACCTCCCACTGAACCACCGTAAACGTCACCTGTGTCGTCAGTTCCAGACTGGCGCACTCGTGCACCTTGTGGCGGTGTCTGAACTCCTGGGTTGAAATTCAGTCCTCTATCCTGGGCAAGCTGTCTCCTCAACGCCTTTCCTTTCGCTGCTCCATCTTCGTCTTTACTCTCCTTGCCCTCCTGCGACTGCTTCAACTGCACCAACGAAATAGGCGGTTCTGTTATGTCAGAAGGTCTCCGAGCGAGCACAACTCGCCTCAGCAGCTGTGTGGATGGTGTTGTGCTGGCAGCTGAATGGGTAGGACTGATATAATGACCGTAAACTACTTCATTCGGTCGCGGGGATGTAGCTTCTGCACGACCAACTGCTTCGTCGACTGGACCCTGCGTTACGAATATCTGTCTCACAGGCTGTCCTCCAGGTATTCCTGGATGCTGACGGATATACTGACCATATAGTTGCAGAGGTCTTCTGGTTGTTGTTGGTCCTGATGGCCTCTCTGTTGAGCTAGGGATCTCTTGAGGTCGGCGAGATCTGGGGATTGTTTGGATAACAGCGGCCTTAGTCACTGGTTCTGGAGTCTCTGAAACACTCGCTGGGGCCAGAGTCTGCGCATAAAGGAGGACTGGCCTTCGAGTGGTGGAGTCCAGAGTTTGTTCTGTTGTCGTGGTCGAGTCATGCACCAATGGCGATCGGCGGGTAGTTACCAATGGCCGGATAATCTGCTGGTACAGTAATGGTGGTGCTGGAGGCTGGCTCCGAATGGTTACTTTTTGCTTATCTTCTCCCACTATGACGGTGGGTAGGTTACCGTTGGCTTGGAATCCCGTGTTGTTGCTGGCAGAGTAAGAGACTCTCTTCAGCTCCCCCGACTCATCTATAAATCCAAACATACCCTTCACATTACCCAGCACATCACGTGTTTCAATCTTGAAGCTTCCGTCTGCGGCTTCGTATCCGAATGTGTAGGATCCGTCATCATTTACGCGGTTAATCTGCTTAAGAATTGCGACTTGTTGTTGAGACTGGACATCTTGTTCTGGTGACTCTTCCTGGACCTCAGCCGCTGTCACTGCAGCACAGCAGCAAGAAGTCATAACAAGCCACCATGATGCTGCTGCAAATATCACCTGGCAAATAAACACCTCTCCTGTATTAACACTTTCTATGATATTATAGGGATATCTAATTGATAAACATAGTTAATTTGGTGTCTAAACTATTCTTGGATCTGCTCATTTGAATGAAAATGTTGTAGTCTATTTTTTGGCCGTTCAAGACAAATATTTATGAACTTTTAAAAGTTATAAAGTTATACGTTACGGCCGAAATGCAGCACAGAAAGTGAAATTAATATCACCTCAGAAAGGGATGACTTAGAATAGAGTTGAAACATTTATTTGGGTCTCAGGTTGGGTTTCTGACATATCAATAGTGATTGGGACTGAAACTGAAAACTGAATGAAAACTTTGGATATCAGAATTAAGGAAAATTTTGAAATTAAGTATCAGAGAAATGCTGGGGTGCCCGCAGCAGAACACGCAGAAACAAAACACCCTGAACCTTTGGCATAGAAAGTGTATTATCATCTACAAAACTAATATCATCCTTTTCTCTCTCCAAATTTCTTTCCACACGGCGTCTGTGGCGCTTGCTTTGGGGCTTACGGTTATGTGTAAGGCGACATATCTGTATATCCAGAGCTCTTTTGTCAACAGGTATTGTTACTGCTAGTGGGGTGGGACAAAGTTCCTTGTACTGCGGCCACTTCTGGCCTATTGTACCAGCCCCAGATGATAGGTGAGGGTGATTGTGGAGCAATTGGTGGAATGAAGATTGGCAGGGGAAACCGAAGTACTCGGAGAAAACCTGCCCCAGCGCCACTTTGTCCACCATAAATCCCACTTGACCAGACCCGGGATCAAACCTGGGCCGCCGCGGTGTGAAGCCAGCGACTAACCGCTTGAGCTATGGCGCGGCCTTTATCGACAGGTAACTATATATGATTTAACGTATGAAGCAATCCACTTTCAACTTGATAAACCTATAATCAAGTTGCTTCTGGATTATAAATAATAGAAAACATAAGACGGCATCCTTTCTAGAACCATAACTAAAATGACAAGAATAATTCAGTGTTTGTTTCTTGCAATATGCTAGTATTGGTATTTAAAGGAAGAGGTTAATGTTGTTATTAGCTACTGTTTATTAAGTTTATCAAAGATGTGTGTAGAACATTAATTTAATATGGTTACAAGCGCCAACGTTTGCTGTTAGAGGATGTCGCGTAGTCAGCGCGACGTATCCTCACGGCCGTCAATCTTGGGTTTCTACACCGGAGCAGCTATTTCCTTGAAATAGCTCCTCAATTATCCTCACGAGGCTAAGTGTACCCCGTTCCAGGCAGACTACTTCTCAGAAAATCTGCACTAACTTCGCCTAAAAGCGGTGTTCGCTCTATCGGTATAATTCGCCTGAGGACTACAGGCCACGTAGTTTTTATGGTTACAAACATTACAAAAGAGTTTATAGAATATATGTGGTGTACGAAATAGACATTTTAACTTCTTCTGTCCACTTTATTTTAGGAAATATCCCAATCAAGAAAGGACACTTTCGCTAAAAGTGCAAGAAGTAAGAGAAGACATCGGTGGACCACACAGAGAGAGAATATTTAAGCCAGTTTCTGTTAGGACTCTTGCCTTTATATTTGTCATGGTTAGAACTATGGTTCATGTGAGTGACTGTGAGTACTCGAGTAAAATTGAACACAGTTGGTAGTATTCATTCATTCATTCTTCACACATCCTTCATTCATTTAGTCAACAATGACTCTACAGCCCATTGTTGGCTCTGGCCTCTTCTTCAGTTTCGTAATCGTTTTTACACATACGGGAGGACACCTTGGACGAGTAATCAACCCACCGTAAGGCCGCTAAATACACACAGAACAACACAAACACAGAATAAACGCACACACCAACATTCATGCCTCGAGTGGAATTCGAAACCACGAACCCTGCTTTCGAGCCAGTGAAAACAGTGCATACCTTAGAACATGCGGCCACTGTGATGGGCCCATTGAGAGTATATGCCTGATAAAATAATACGTTTAGGTTACATAAAATGGGCAAGATATATTAAGAAATACTAATTCTACATCTGTGCTTTCTTTGTATGTAGTGCATGGGATGAATTTATAAAGAACAAATCCGTGTGTCCGTATAATTTCCTTTCAAATCCTGAAGTGGATGGAGATTATGTTTGGTATAATATATTTACTGAATTTTGTTGGTCAATTTAATTTTGAGAAACATTGGTCCTTTCCTTGTTTATTTGTCTGTTTATTTAAAGGTGCTTTCAGCTGATCAGATTAGATAGCCTTAAGTCCGTCCGTTAGTAATTGCTTTAATTGTTCCATTATTAAACCACAACTAACTAAAGCTAACTACATGGAGCTGAACCATTTTTGTGCAGCTATTGAATAACCTTCCAGTTTTTGTGGAACCTGAAGGCTGTGAGGATATTGTAGAATACTTCCCTTCTAACTGAATCATAGGCTTTCTTGANGGAGTATATGCCTGATAAAATAATACGTTTAGGTTACATAAAATGGTCAAGATATATTAAGAAATACTAATTCTACACCTGTGCTTTCTTTGTATGTAGTGCATGGGTTGAATTTATAATGAACAACTCCGTGTGTCCGTATAATTTCCTTTCAAATCCTGAAGTGGATGGAGATTATGTTTGGTATAATATATTTACTGAATTTTGTTGGTCAATTTAATTTTGAGAAACATTGGTCCTTTCCTTGTTTATTTGTCTGTTTATTTAAAGGTGCTTTCAGCTGATCAGATTAGATAGCCTTAAGTCCGTCCGTTAGTAATTGCTTTAATTGTTCCATTATTAAACCACAACTAACTAAAGCTAACTACATGGAGCTGAACCATTTTTGTGCAGCTATTGAATAACCTTCCAGTTTTTGTGGAACCTGAAGGCTGTGAGGATATTGTAGAATACTTCCCTTCTAACTGAATCATAGGCTTTCTTGAAGTCTATGAATTGCTGTTGTACTGTCTCATTGTACTCCCATTTTTTCTCCAGTATCTGAAGAAGATGGAAAGTCGTATAAGTAGCTGACCTGTTAAGTCGAAACCCACACCGATGATCGCAATAATTTTATTTATATTATACCATATTGTTAAAGCATAATTTATATAAATACAACAATAATTTTAAAAATTCGGAAACATGCTAAAGTGTACACCCCATGAGGTACGCATTTTTTTCTAAATTTAGTTTTTGAAATTTTAAATCATTACACTCTTGATATGGGTTCATTACATAGACATATGTTCCCTTTGCTACATATACAACGCGTCGAATGATATGGATGATTGTCCTAGTATATGATATTCTCTGGGGATTCGCCTAGAAGGACTGAGGAAATCCACAAAACCTCAGAATAGCTCATATCCTGGCACAGATTCGGCAACTTCCCGGATTCAAGTCAGGACCGTTAACGCTTTGGTCCCAGAACAATGAAGACGGTGTGGAAACAAGAAAATATATTGTCCTGTCTCTCACAGAAATATGACACATAATTATTTTAGATTATAATAAAATTTGTACCGTAGAAAGGCGATAAAAATATATTTGATCCTTATGTAACGTTTTTTAGTGGACTGGCATAATTTATTCGGGTTTCATGTTTGACTAAAATGATATATGGATTTCTTTTGTACTTTACTCATGTTATAGTTCACATTTACAGGCGATATTACTAACAAAGTGCAATGGCAACACACCTTATTACTCGGTGTATAAGGCACGTATTAATTTATAAATTATGAAAGAAAAATGTATTTTTGTGAAATATATTCTCCTGATACATAATTTTTTATTTGTTAGTTAATTATATAAACTACTTTATGTTTTATAAATGATTTGTTAATCGTGGTTATAGTATTTACACGTAAAATTTTAACAGTTAACGTTCCACGGGTAGGAAGTACCATGGATACACCTTAAGTTTTAAGGCTGTTCTCATGGAAAGGAATAGCCTCTCATAACCCGAAATTACTGTAATTTATTCAACTGTGCTTTGTAATACACATCGTGGCGGTCGATATTATTAATAACAGAATTCTGCTCCATGTAGTGCAGAAGGTCTGTAGCACCTGTAGCTGTGCCCTGTTACCTTTAATTTCTATCTGCAGCAAATGAACATTTAAAGCAGCCTCTGTTGCCCCCTTAAACGTAAGCACCGGGCACAACTATTGAGCACGTACCTTGCAGCTAATCTTCATAGTATCCCTTGTTGCTGAGGAATACACAGCTCCAGACTGTTAAGTGGGGGTGACTGAGGGTCCGCTATATAGTCTGCCTTGCAGAGGGGCCCTAACCTTGACAAGGTGGGGCTCAGGGGAGCACAACCCCCTCCGGGAGTTCGTGAGACAGTGAAAGTGTTTATTATCTTTGCACAAGAAAAAAGAACTGTATGGGCCCATTGTTACGCACCTATAACGACCTGCACTCATAACACACGTAAGTATATAATACATTCCCAGGACTTGCGTAGTTTTTGTGTATACGACAGTTGCAAAACAAAACTGGCTCATAAACAAGCGGTTTCACTTTCCGGAGAATTTCCTGAACATTTCTTACAATGTGACAGGTTAAAGAGCCCGGCAAAAACGAACTTCACTCGCAGTGTCAGGCATTTTGTTGTGACCAGTAAACTTTAGAAAGAGATGTAACATGCAATTCAGGATGTTGTATACGTATTCATATATATTCAGTTACACTAAGGATGTGACTAATATCAGGTTCAATACAGGCGTGGAGCAGTTGCACTGTGGGATTGAAATTAAACGGGACACATCAGCTGTTGGTCCATGCTGATTATGTGAATCTACTGGGTAAAATATAGATACCATAAAGAGAAATGCCGGCCACGGTAGCCGAGCGGTCTAAGAAATGCACTGTCTTCGCTCACTCGAAAGCCGGGATCGCGGGTTCGAATCCCACTCAGGGCATGGATGTTTGTGTGCGTTTTTCTGTGTTTGTGTACAGGTAGAGGCCTTGCGGCGAGCTGATCACTCGCCCAAGGAGTCCTACCGTATGTGTAAGATCTAGAAAAACCGAAGTGAACCGAGTTCATGGAGGTAGGCCTAGGCCCACTGGGGCTGTAGTGCCAAGGAAAAAGAAATAAAGAGAAATACACAAACTTTAATTGACGCTAGTAAGGAGATTGGTCAAGAAGTAAACAGAGGGAAAACTGCGTATATGTTGCGGTCTCGTCACCAAAATGCAGGGCAGAATCATGACGTAAAGATAGGTAAGATATGTTTTGAAAATGTGGCACAGTTCAGATATTTGGGGACGACTGTAACAGATCAAAACCTGATTCAGGAGGGAGGTGGATGGTGATAGATAAGTGTGGAGCAATTTTGGAAGAACAATTGGCAGAGAAACCGGATGCAAACCATTTTTCAGTGCCAGTTGCTGCACAGTAAAGCTCACGTAAAGTCACCCGGTGTTAAACCTGGGCCTCCGTGGGCAGAAGGCGGCGTCCTTCATCAAACGAAGAGACCCCAAAGTGAGATAACCTAAAAAATTCTCTCGTATTAACGGAAATGTTCAGATTTAAAGCTTCCTGTTTTTTTTTTTAATTCGCTTATTGGGGGGTGGAGTCCAACTGGGTTCACACGGCACGGCGGCCACTGATTGGCCTATTGTTGCCTGCCCCGGATCATTATGATGATGGAGACTTTGCTGGAATGAAGATTGGCAGGGGAAACTGAAGTACTCGGAGAAAACCCGCCCCAGCGCCACTTTGTCCACCACAAATCCCACTTCACCAGACCCGGAATCGAACCCGGGCCGCCGCTGTGGGAAGCCAGCGACTAACCGCTTGAGCTATGGTGCAGCCTATAAGTTGTCTATTACTACTTTTGATCCAGCTATCATTTCTATCCTGAAGCTATCTCGTCCATCCGCAACCGGAGGACGCACCACGGTGACTAAATACAACTACTTCTGCACCTCAGTCAGAACAAGTCTGGGATCAATCTAATGACCTTATGAACAATCTGACACATACTGGGAGCAAGTTTGATCCTGTTTAACTTAGGTTGTTTGTTTGTTGACTAATTTAAAATACTACGACGAACGCTGAGATTATGTAGCGTCGAATTAAAAATAGCATGCGTTATGAATTGTTAATAATCTGGAAGGAATGAACTCAATGATGCTATCCAAGTATTATCTGGAGTAACTGAGAAAATCACGAAATATATGTTTGGGGATAGGTGATTTTTCGGCTGAGATTCGAAGCGGAAATCTCCAAGTTACAAAACAGAAGTGATAACCAATATGGTGAACGGTGGTTTGTAAACTGTATGGGAGTGGAGAGCGTTATTACCAACGGCCTATGCACTGGACACTTTATTGAATCAGGGCAGGTTCCACCCTGCTTTTGTAGCAATGAAAGATGTAGCTAAGGCAAACATTTAATAATTTTCTGGTAAGTAATATTTGATTCCCGCCGGTAACATATTTCCCAATCTTACGTCGCAGTCGAGTGGTGGAATTCCTACTTAGCATCTGGGAGTCCCCGGGCTCAAACCTGGCCTAAAGACCAGCTGTTTCTTCTCAGTTCCTCCACGCAATATTACGATAATGAATTATATTAGGCTTCAACGGCTTCCTTGCATATTTTTGCAATTATTTAATGAACCTATTATTCAGCTCTCTATAATCTGAGCTAGTCATCATAATCATCATCATCATCTGTAAACAGCCGTTTTTGAGCCATGACTTTCCTTACAAGATTCTGCCAGATTTGCCTTTAATTAGATTATCCGGTTTTAATTTTTTTGGATTTCGCAACTACAATTCTTTTACAGAGCAAGGTCTTTGCTTCCAACCCCCAAACTGGATGGCCACATCTCTGTATTTCTCTCCTCCAGGAACAGGGTGGACAAGTTGAACTCTCAGGAACCAAGTTTCATCTTCGTCGCCTTCTGCTACTCGCAGGGTTACTGCAGAGGTATTGTAACTCGCTTCCACGCGGAGAAATCTGAGTTAGTAATGGCTCGTTAATAAAGTAGTCCTTGTGTCTATTAAAGCACCATACTATGAAGACGTATGGGGAGTAGACATGTAGCTCCAAGCATTCTAGACGGAAATGAGTGGTCATTTTCATGCTCAGATGCTTTTTCCCCCGGGAAAGAATGCACCGTGCCCATTGGATAGAAGACTGTGTAGGCCCCAGAGTTAGTCTGGAGGCTGTGAAGGAGCAGTATCTCTTGCTTCTGTCGAGGATCGAAATCGGTCATCCCGTAACCTAGTCAATATATTGATTTACAAAGTATGAATCTGTAACGTTAGGAAGAAACAGTAAAGAAAACATTAGATTAAATGAGATAAGTTCATCATAAAATTTCCTTTATTAAAAGGATCTAATATAAACCAGGTTATGTCTCTAAGTACAATGATTATCAGTGGCATAGATAAATGCCAAGTTAAGTACATTACTGCCTAAACGTCGGAAGTTGTTTACTGGCACAGCCCTATTTCCCGTAAAATCGCAGAGATTTACCTACATGTGTTGCCGAAATGGATATATGGCATAATATCTTGGTACAAGCACAAATTTATTTCATATAGCTACTACCGGCTACTACTATTTGATACTTGGGAGCACGGATAGCGTAGTCGGTAGAGCGACTAGCTACGGACTGGAAGGACAAGTAGGGTAGTCCCGGTAGGGTCAAGAATTTTCTCTTCTCCCTGGGGTTCACCCAACCTCGTATCCAATGGGTAATCGGGACTCTTTCCCCAAGGGTAAAGCGGCCGGGGCGTGAACTTAATGCCAAGGTTAAGAAAATGTGGATCTATACATCCACTCTCTCATACATCTTCATGGTGTAGTGCTTAATTAGTTTAACACAGGAACAACTTTAACTTTCTTTTTTTTTTGGCACTACAGCCCCAGTGGGCCTAGGCCTACCTCCATGAACTTCTCCGTTCACTTCGGTTTTTCTAGATCTTAAACATTCGGTAGGACTCCTTGGGCGGGTGATCAGCTCGTCGCAAGGCCTCTACCTGTACACAAACACATAGAAACGCACACACACAAACTAAACATCCATGCCCTGAGTGGGATTCGAACACACGATCCCGGTTTCCAAGCGAGCGAAGACAGTACATGCTTTAGACCGCTCGGCTACCGTGACCGGTCACTTTAACTTTAGTGATGCATTATCCGCATGGTCACTTACTATTTTCCTTTGACAAATGTTTGTTAACATTGACATATGTTTCGTCCTTTTCGAAATGTTAGCAATTTATAGTCACGTAACAGATATAAAGAAATTTATTAAGTATTTTTTTAGTCGTTTGGAACTTTATTTCACATAGTTCATTTTATTCGCTTACTAATGTAACGTTGTACAACCACATTTACAGCTTAAAGGTAAAGGTAAAATTGTCCCTGCGCTCAACGAATTAAACACTACGCCATTAAGACGTATGGGGGAGTGGATGTATAAATCCATATACATTTATAGCTTAACGGTTGTCAATTAATTCATTCACTCATTCACTGAAATGCACTTTATATTAAGCTTATACAGTCGTCATTGAAATCGACCGAGTTAGCTCAGGCGGTAAGGTCTCTGAGTGAGAAATGCCCAATTCGATTCTCGGACGCGACACCGAGTATCCTGGCTGAAATATTTCGTGGCTTCTCTCAGTCCCTCCATAAAGTGCCTGTATAGTACCACAAATTCAGCCACGATCAGTTCCTTCGATAGTCTTTCCAGTTAGTTATTAACTAATCTCAAGCCCATTCGAAGCCACATAGGCCTAATCTGATACTGACAGCGTCCTCTAATAGACAGTAAATGATTAAGACTCTCTTTAAAGAACAGAACTCTGTCTTTGCCTAACTAACTCTGGTAGCAAAACGAGATGATTCAACACACTAATAATCAAGTAAGCTATTCGACAATATCCTGGTCTAGTTCCACCCACTTCTCGTCTTACCCATCTTCCTAACGTCTGAATTAATGTTCTCCTCCCATACCCTCCTCCACCTTCGAACTGAGCTTACCTAAAAATCTAAACAAATGTATGAAATTCTAGTCTTGCCCATCCTAGATTCGTTCTGAGACCATGTAAGCCTCCTAGATTTCACTATCGTAAAATTCTAGGTGAAATGAATAAATCACAAATTCGATCCTTACGCGAGTATAACATCATACATTAGCCACTTTAAATTCCTTAGGTCCACACATTTTCTTGAGTATTTCACATTCAAA